CTGTCGCCCTCTCTGGCCAGGAGCAGCTTTCTAAACACAATAGCGTCTGTGGCGGAGGTTGGCCAGCAACACCCACACTTCTTGACACTCGGCTCGAGTTGCATTGACAAACGTTTTGCTCGCCTTTTGGCCCACATCGCTGCATAAAGCTCGCATTGAACACCCTCACGCTTTATGGCCATTTGCATTTGCATTTAAATGTTTTTGACGGAGCTGATTTTGTTGCACAGCGCTTCCTGAGAGCGCATCCGCCAGCGCTTGCCATGTTGGCCACATCACGATTTCTTGGCCAGGCCGCCTGTTGTTTTTCGACGTTTTTTCTTGCATTTTTTTCCTTTTTTTTTTTGTTTGGTTTCTTCACAGTTTGCCGTTTGTTTACAGCTGCTCGCATTGATTGAAAAATTATGCACTTGCCATGACGATGGGCAATGTCAAATGCCAAATGCTAAAAAAGACCAACAGTGAAATTTTGCTCAATCGGCACACCGAACCTTATATGCCCAATCTGGCATAGATACATATATATAGGTGATCTGGGCATATGTATCCCAGGGAAGCCCAAACTTATTCAGGCCACATTGCTTCTGGCCAGTCATATTTTACGACAGCAATACACTGAAAGAAAAGCAGAGCTTGCAGTGAATTTGAACCCGATTTTGTTTACTTTTTTATTCTATATTATTCAGTTAGGCCAGCCCAAGGCATTTGTTTTGAAGCTGCTTCAGCTGCAACTCCCTCACTTCGTTCTGCTGCCAAACAAGCTCAATGACGAGCTGCTGATACCCTTTGGTACAGGGTATTACTTGAGCCGTTGGTAGCTAGGAATTCTAGCACTTCAAAACGAAAAACGTTTTCCATTTTGGCAACCTGAAAGCGAGGTTGAGCCTGCTTACTTTTCTTTTCGCCAGCTTGTCCTGCTCATTAGCAAACCTGGCAGCGGTGTCTTTTTGGCCCATGGGCAACGGCAACGGCAGCGACAACAGCAACAGCAACGGCAATGGCAATGGCAACGGCAACGGCAACGGCGACATTGCCGACAGCTGTTAGCCAGTTTTCACCTAATTAAGCAAACAAACGTGTGGGAAATCGCCTGCAAAGTCCCCTGCAACGCCCCTGATTACTTTCGCCTTGGGGCTGGGCCAAACTAATTGCCTTGAACATGGGGTTTAAATAGGCTCAAGGAATGCAACCAAAACATTTGTCTCTAATTGCAGCGCTGCCCAATTGGGCAGGCCAAATTAAATTAAATGCAGCTCGAACCCAGCAAGCTGCCTAAAAGGGGGGCACAGTTGCAGCAACGCAGCAACGTGCAACGTGCAACGGCAACTGGCAACGGCAGCCGCAGCCGCAGTCGCAGTCGCAGCAACAACAATTTGTTGCAAAAATACAAATTGGAACATTTTGTAGAAGCTGTGCGCAGGCGCAACGCTGTGAGAATTTATGGCCCTGCCGGGGTCACTGCCTAGTGGGGATAACATCTGTTGACGCGTCGTGCGCGCAATGCGCATGCAAGGCCCACCAAACCAAAGGACATTGACCAGACAGGGCCAAAGCTGAAGCCAAAGCCATAGCCATAGATACAGCCGCAGCCACAACCACAGCCCCAGTCCACAGTCGGTGGCAGTGGCACTGGCCAGAGCCAGCCAGCCGAACTGGCAGACAGATAAAACCGTTGCAGAGCGCGAAAGCAGTTGAAAAACCATTAGAAATTGTAAAATAGTTCAGTTACTCTGCAGCTCGCACTGGCGGCGATGTGGTTTTGGCCAAAATTGATCTTCAAATTCCATTGGCAGAAGATTAAGCAAGCGCTACATTGCCCAAGAATTTGAAGTCTTAATTTACAGGACAACAGTGTGGGAAAATCCTTATCAAAAGTTTCCACCCGAACGGACTATGCAAATGGTTTTTTCAGCCCAGAAATAATCGAGCTGAAATATGTTCTCTATAAAATATATATTGCAAAAGTTGACTTTCTATATAGTTCGAATATGACTGAAGATATAGTGGGAATTAGTTTCAGGAACTTGTCATAAGTAAAGCTAGGAAAAACTGCTTTCACAATCTCAATCTTCAAATCATTTAAATATTTAAAATTTATTCCCTTGATAAAGGATTTTTTTTGAAATTCCGATAGAGTTGATGCGTTGGGCCACAGGCTAATACCAAATCGGTTTTTTGAACTTGCAACGGATATTGTATATATAAAGCAAAAGTATAATAAATAATCATAATCGATATATTTAGCGAATGTTTTCCTCAAGTGCTGCTTTAATAAATCTTCAACTTTTTACAGTTAATGAATAATTGCATTTGTATCTTAAGGCAGTTGATGGGCTCTTTCATGCAACATCATGTTGCAACCCTGGGCAGAGTTACTTCCGCTGCCAGAGCTGGGCAGCAGTTGGCAACTGTGCGACCTTTTGGTTCGCTGCGTATTCAATTTGGGCCCGGCCTGGGATCTTCCTCGTGGCTTCATTGAGGGCGTGCGTGAAAACTGTTTGGCTGCACAAGGAAGGCCGCTGGCTTGGTGCATGGAACCTCGTCCAGGTCTTGGGTTCGGGTTCAGGACAACAATCGCAGTAAGTGATTACGTAACCAGTGCATTGTTCTTTGGCTGCGTTTTTATTTCATTGAACAACGCAATGGAGGAGCGTCTGGAGGCCGCTTATCAGCATCAAACGGCGCGAGGAAGCTGCAGCCAGCCAGGCTGCCAGGTATTCAGAGGCAGAGGCTAGCGAGCCAGAAAAATAATTTATTCACAGCCATTATGCGCTGCGAATTTATGCCACTTCCTGGTGGAACAACTACAAATAGCCATTTAAAATGCGATAAAAATAGCGCCAACGGGCGCAAAAGCAAAAGCAAAAGCAAAAGCCAGGCGAAGATGCTCTGCACAATGCGCTCACATCGTATCACACTCAAGCGGGGGGCGTGGCCAGGGCGTTTTGCGGCATTTTGCCGCAATGACTGCCAAGCATGAAACCGTAAAATGGGTTTTCAATAAACAGACCCACAGAACGTTTGCCAAGCTGGTGCCGAGCGAGAAACTTGATGCCGGCCAAAACAATGCGACAAATATTTGAATATGTTAATTAGTTTAGCAATGTTGCAGACGTTCTTGTTGTTGTTGCCAGTTGCCAGTTGCCAGTTGCCAGTTGCTTGTTGCTGTTGTTGCATTTAGCTGGGCACGATCAGTTCTATCGGCGGACGTGCATCGGGGCAGTCTAATTTCATGTGTTGCCATCTTGTTAGGACAGTTAGGAGCAGTTAGTGTTGCAGTTGCAGTTGCAGCCAAAGCGTTTTGCATCTTCGCACCACAAGACTAACGAGCTTAAACGCCTGCCTGCTGCATGCTGCCTGCCCCACAGTCGCCGCCTGCACTTGCATTGCGATTCATATTTACGAGTACGCCACATTCGAGTTCTGTGCACATTTTTATGATTGGTATGCACAGGCCAAGCAGGCAACGCTTGCATTTCGCTTTTCGCATTTACCTGGCTGTCATGCCCAGCGGCCGATGGCCACACACATACAGCCAGCTACCAATAAAGCTGCCAATGAGCCGGGCTAAAAACAACTGACAGGCCGACAGCAGCAGCCTTATAAAGTCACAGGCCAGACCAAACAGTCAAGCGACTCAGCATTTTCCCCAATTGCACGCAAAGCTGAGATGGAGATGCTTCACCTGATCTGTATGTGGGCGTGTGTGTGTGTGTGTGCGTTAGTGTTGCCAACTCTTGTGATGCAGCAAAAAAGGCTAGTTCAGCAGGGAAACAACATTTTATTATATAAAAAACTTTTTAAAGAAACAAAAAAAATATTTATAAAAAAGTAAAGCAAAATTATTTTACACAACATTTGCATATCTCACAATTTTCATAGAAAAATTTGCCTAATAAATAAAAGTGAAATTATTTCTGTAGATAAAAAATAATAATAAATAAGTTTTTTATTTATTATAATAGTAAAAATAAATGGGAGAAAAGAATCTTTCAAGCCAAAAAAAGCTAAGCTCTCCGAAGAGAACTTTCAAATGGGGAAACGCCATTTTGGTTTTATCGAAAGCTAGATTTGGCGGAAATTAAGTGGTAGTAGCAGCACTGATGTGCTTGTACATTCACCTGTGGCATTTTTTGCGTGCTAAGGCTGTAGGTGTTGCCCGGCACCAGCTGATGGCTTTGACAGCTACTAAATTTAGCTTTAAGAGCGCGAGACGCGCGTTCCTTGTCCAATTTTGGGCAGCAGCCAAATGGTTTGGCCGGCCGGCGCTTATCGCTTGACCATAAATTTATGTACGTCGTTGTTGTTTGCCAAATATTGCCAGCTTGGAGGTCCTAGGCCAATAACTTGTGCCAAGACAACACGCAATGAAGTTGTTTGCCTTTGAATGTTGCATTTAGCCTGTTGCCTGTTGCCTGTTGCCGGTTGCCGGTACGTGCGGAATTTTACCTGGCATAAAAATGCAATTAACGGCACTTGTTCGCCATCGCTTCAAATAGTTGTTCCTGTGTTCTGTTGTATTTTCACTGTGACACAACACGAATGAACACATAACGACTTACACAAAACAATTAAAGTCCCTATTAATTTACATATTGATTTCAGTTAAGTTTCATATTTCACACTTGTTTTACACTCTGCACAAAACACTTTATAACTTCATTCATAAAAATATTTACTATTGTTGCCAAATTCGGGTTTGTTTCTTTGCTAGATGTTAGCGTTGCCAGCCACTAAATGTTGCGTTACCAACCAAGCTTCAAGTTGGCTACGCTGTATTGAAAATATAAGCAACTAAAATTTTCTAAAAAAAACTAAAATTTTTTTATTTCATAAGAACTGGAATAATTTAATACAGTCTTAGTAAACTATGTTGCAATTAATTAAATCTATAAAAATAACTTAACAAGACGGCCGAATTATAATTCACAATGTTAAGCCATAGAGTTGCCAGATCAACAAAACACAGTTTCTTCTTCCGTAGTATCTATCCAACTGTCATACACTATTCTTATCTCTTCCTGGTTCATATTTCGGGTAATTTTTAGTCCATTTCTTAACAATTGCTGCGCAATATTTAGTACGTTTTGTGTGTGTATTACAGTGAAAGTGAAACCTGCGCCATAGCAAACAAAAAAATAATAGAAAATATTTTTGAAAATTTAAGAATTAAACATAAAATATAAATTAACAACCAAAGCAAAATGTGTGGGGGTTTTACCTGCTCGAAGAATGCGCTTATTGCGCTTAACATTTTATATGTGGTAAGTAGGAGCAGCAACAATATGAAAATTTAGCATTGCATACACAGAAAAAAAACATTTCTTAGTATCTATGCTGCAACTGTAATTTTTTTTGTTTCGCATAATTTGTATACAGATGATTGGTTTCTTGCTGATTGGCGTTGGGGTCTATGCACGGGCGGCCTCCGTTGTCACAAATCTGCCAATAGTTGGAGGAATCCTCGCCTGCGGCGTTATACTCATCTGTATTTCTTTGCTGGGGCTCGCTGGCGCCGTCAAGCATCATCAAGTGATGCTTTTCTTTGTATCCTTTTTACCAACAACAAAAACTATGCGTATGTGTGTGTATGCGAATGTGCAGGATGTATGCAGTGTGCTCCGCCAACCACAAATCTGAAGGTCAACGCATGTCGATGGGACTGACATTGTTCTAACCGTACAACAAATCCATATACACACATAAGTGTATATGTGTACGTGTCTGTGTGTGTGTATCACACGGCAGCTGCCATGAATCAAGTTACTCGACTAATTAGCTTGCCTCTGGCTTCCGCACATTTCGCAATTGCGTCAGCTGCAGCTTATCGTCCAAGCTGTTCATAATAACAATATTCACTAATAGCTTTTATGTTTGCTTTAATATTGAGATAACAATATCATGATTTGGTTTTGCCCTTAACCCAATGCACTCTCTCAGTACATGATAATTTTGTTCATGCTCTTCCTCATTCAGTTCTCCATTGCCAGCTCATGCCTGGCCGTCAATTCGGTGCAGCAGCAACAGTTCGCTGAGCACGGCTGGAAGACGGTGCCAACCAAGTTGCGCAAACAGGTGCAAGACAGTTTTCTTTGCTGCGGCTTCAATGCCACCACCACCACTACCACCAACACCATCAACAGCGACAGCAGCATCGATGACGAAGAGCCCAGCTGCGAGATAATCAACAGAGAATGTTGCGTGAACTCGAAGGATCCACTTTGCCACTGCGAACCCTGCGGCCCCCTATTGGAGAACAAAATTGATTATGCTTTCAAGCTGTGCGGCGGTCTGGGCATCTTCTTCAGCTTCACTGAGGTGAGTGTGTCTCATAGCTAACTTACGTTCGGCCTAATTTGTAATCTCTTGCAATTGTATTTTCTCAATGACATGCATTCAGTTCGTTGGTGTTTGGCTAACAGTGCGCTATCGCAATCAAAAGGATCCGCGCGGCTTGCCCAGCGCCTTCCTCTAAATTGCACAACTAACCCACAAAAATTTAAAAATATATATTCATTATAAACAAATACTAGTTGCAGGCGCACAAGCGCTCCAATCGCGTGTGTCGCTACACTAGAAAGTTGATGTCAATGTAAATGTAAATTTCATGTTCATGCAACAATCGTGGGTCTATTAGATCAACTCTGTGGTTAGCTGTTCTATTAGACAGACCACATACGTATACACACACACACACCAAATATAGACACACATTTATATTTATATACAAACACCTCTACCCTATACGCATACATAACCGCATGCATAAAACATATATATACATAAATTACTATAAAACTGAGTACGTAATGCGTTAGGCCATACCTACATACATTTACAACTCTAGTAATACTTCATATACATATATACTTCTATATACATATAAATATATATATATACAACTTATCGCAACTAAACACATACACATCCATATTTCCAATACACACACACTAACAAAATCTTTGGCGGCGTAAATTTGTTAAATATCTTAGAGAATATAAGTTCGGCAAACACATATGGTGAGACATTCATATATATCTTTTATATTCTGTCTTTGATTTCTAATTTCACTTAAATTTTCATTTTAATTTAGATGCTTTTGAGGACATTATCAGAAATTGTCTATTTCTATCAGCCAAGTGCCTCCTTAGTGCTGTCCGTTGCTATGTTTCTGTTTAAGCTAGTCTGTCAATGATATATATAAGTCAGAGATGATGGGCCTGAATATATATTTGTTCAATTAACTTTTTCCACATTTAACTTAGCGGACTACTGTACTAATTTTATTCTAAACAATGTGTAAGACCATATCAAACGGGATTTTAGTGTTCCATGGCTCCTACAAAAGTAACAGCTTCAGAATAGTCCTTTTCTATAATGGATCTCTGTGCTATTCAACTTTGGCATGCCAAAGATACTTAAGTTCTTTTTGTTTGGTTTTCATTTTCTATCAACTTATTTAATTTGGTTTTTTTTGCAATTTTCAATAGGTCTTGGCCGTTTTTCTCGCGCGTCGCTATCGCAACCAGCACGATCCCTGCTACTTGCCCGCACGCGCCGTTTTTCCACACAACTATCAGTACTGAGTGAAGATAGTGACGGAGCTGGAAGGAGATCAAAGAGCCGAGGCGCAGGCAACTTTTAGTCAAAGGGACGAAGGCTGATTTATCATATATTTTATACAAACCTCCTAGCCTAAACTGAAGACAACTAAAATTTCAGAGACATGCAATAGGTCTTTGAATAGGTGCATTAAGTGCTTGATTAGTTCCTCGTTTTAATTGTTATAGAGAGATTAAGTTTCCCACACTTGAGATTATAATTGGTTTGGTGTTCAATATGAAATCAATAATTGAACATGCTTATTTTAATTAGCTTATACATATTTTTAGTTCGCAACTGGCAACAATCATAAAACTCAACACAAACTGCTGTACCACAGAAAGTTATAAAAAGCGAAATTTAAAGAAAACAAAAACTATAAATCATTTCGAACCTGATATAAGAGTAGAACCAAGTCAAATGTAACTAACAACGGTAACTGTGTTTTAACAAAGCGTAATATATACATAAAGGCAACTTATATACATCTACATATACTATATATTTAAATATATAGATATATATATATATACATACGAAATATACAAATATTCAAAATAACAACTATAAAACCCAACTATAGATGTTAGATGTGTGTTAAAACTTTGAGATTTGCACTAATATTGCAACAGAAAAAATACAAAAAAAAAACCCAAATACATGTCAACAAATATTAAAGTCTTAAAATATCAAACACATTTCCAGTGAAAAACTACCCTAAGCTTTGCTTTTCCTCTGTTGCTTGCTCTGCTAATTTTCTTTTACCCACTGAGGAATATATCAATAAATTTTTCAATTACTCAGCGGCGCCTGCTGCTGCCTCCTTTGACTGCACCCACGCAGGCAATCAGAGAAATCCTTTCTCTACTTTTCTCACCACAAAACACACACACACACATACACATACACACTCACACACACACCACAACCAACAAGTTGAAATAGTTTTTCCTCTTGCTTTTCTTTTCGTATTTCCTTTCAAGCTACAAAGAAACCATTAAATAAAATTTCTCTGTATTCTGTGCTGTGATTGAAGTAAATATGATCTTTAAAAACCAAATAAACTCTCGAGTTTCATTTCCCAATTTATCTTGACGCTTAATTAAGAAACGACTGTCTACCATTAGTGAGCTGCGCATAAAGTTTCGTCTTCTAATTTGTTGCTAACGGGCAGCACAGTGGATGGCAACGTTGCAAGGACGCAAGGCTTACAAATTGAATCAGCTGAACGCAATTTTACTCACAAATTAAAACAAGCCTCAACTTGAACTGGTTTGTTTCCATTTAAAGTAAAAGACTTTGGAACTTCAGACACCTGACACCTCAAGAAAATGTTATGAAAATCAATTCATCAAAGTTATATATATTTGACTAATGGAGTCTCTCAGGTCAGCTTGCAAACTAAATTGCGAGATGTCATAATGAAGCCAATTCAGTTTAGTTCAGTTCTTAAAAGGATTCACAGCTTCAATTGAATTGATTTAATGACCAACTCTTAACTTATTCCAGTTGGTCCTTATGGCTAAGTCCATTATGGAAAAGAGTCCCACGGTGCGGTGCGCCTTGCCGCATGCCACAGGCCGCCTACCAGAAGATTAACGCACGCAGTTTGTTTGACACCTCCCCGGGGAACCAGCTGGGCTGTGTGGGTGACATTTTCACAGACTTAAGGGGGATGACACATTGGGCCCCAAACAAATACCCAACAAATTTTCGGTTGCCAAAACCGTTTCACTCAAACTTCTGAGCCAATTCGACTCAAACGAGGCCAAGTTCAACGCACTCGCGTCCAATGGAAGTGGTGGAGCGTTCTTTTAAAAAATACCGGAGCATAGAGAAGTATGTTCAGAGAGAGAGAAGCAGCAAAAGAGAGAGAAACGGCCAGCTGAGTGAGCGCAATTTTGGTGGGCCAACCAGGAACTGTTTGGGTTATGTAACGGATGCGCGGTCAGGTGGCCAACTAGGGTGGTGTAATCCCAGAGCACGAAAAGTGGTTGCGGTGGTAGCACATGGCATGTGCTTTTCCAGACGAATTTGTTGTTCGCCAAAGCAGCGGACGCCGCCGTTTGGGACAACATACGACCTAGCGCAAGTTCTCGATGTGTCAGGTTAACGGACAGGACACGACATGCACAGTTGCAAGTACGCATAAGACACATGTATTATGTAAATTGTATATTTATATATATATATATATATATATATATATATATATATATATATATATATATTTGTGCTCGCCTGGAGCCAGGCATGTCCATTGAGGACACATGAGTCTCGAATTAAATTGTCTTGCGTAAACAGATTTATGGGTATCTGATTATCAGCTGCAGCTGCTCAACAGACCAAATTATTGATTTCCATTGAAGCATTCCAAATGTACAACTTACTTATACATACACAAATAACCCAAAATGGTATATATAATATATAGATATATGCTCTTTCTATATGCATGACAACATGCCACACGAATTCCTGCACGTTTTTCACTTGCTAAATAATAAATGAAATTCCATTAACTGTTGCAGGGTTCGAGATCCTTAAAGCGTGTTGTCTGTTTAAATGCCTCACAATGCGTGAGCAATGCTTCACGCTTTCTTTTCTGATGACATAGTGGGCGTGGCACTTGTCGGAGCTCAGTTCTGTAACAACAACAATACCGAGCTAATTAGACTAAGAAAACAGTAACGAAACTGGTTTAGCTGAAAGTAGACTCAAAACTCGGTTACTAAATGACAAGCTCTTGAATATTAAAAAAAAAAGTAGCTAAAAAAATAGTATAAAACAGTCAGGTAATGATAATATTGCCTTAAAAGCAATTTTTTGGCCAACAAAGTTTGATGAAATTTAGTTATTAAGACTGAGACTTTCTACGTGTTGAATCGAAATCTTAAACCAGAAAAGTTCTAACTTTCTTCCAGTTTTCCAGATATTCTTTTTATACAAAAGGTTGAAGTGTGGGATCCTTAGACAAGTAAGCAAGTTGAAATAAAGTTAAGTTAATCAGCTTAAATAAATTAATTAAGTCTTATAAAAGCTAATTGAGTTACACTAATGAAGTCTAGTCTGGCCATTTAGTCGGCTACATCACAAAATATTTACTATTTTGTTTTTCATTTCGCACTTACTACCGGCACTTGATTTGTATTACATCTGTACATACACATATATATATATATATATATATATATGTTTATGTACCAGATAAATGTACTTCAAGCCTCGTAAATGGTGTTTACTCTGCATAATGGTGTCGCTGTCCGTCCGGCAGCCTTTGAAGCGTGACGAAAGCGTGGGCGTGGGTGAGTACATTTCTACAGAGCAATAAATAAAAATGAGTCTACAAAAAATTTGAATGTCAATGTCAAATCAAAGTCATAGACATAGTAAGCTAGACACACGAGGCACTAAACGCTCGCAATTATCTGGCCAATTATTTCTGACTAACGAAATTTGTATGAAACTGAAACTTACATGAGAAAGTGAACTAGTAAACAAAGCATAGTCGAATCTGTTATTGTGAACCACAGCTTATATGGACCTACGCATTGCAGTTATAGGTTACTGCTAGTAATTCAAATATCGAAATTATAAAGCGATACCAGAACAAGACTCTCAGAATGATTACTTGTGCACCCTGGTAGGTGACTAATTATACTATCCACAAAGATGTTAAACTGCCCCTTGTTAAAGAAGAAATACAACTATATGCTAACAGGTACATGAATAAGCTACATACCAACGACAATGCTCTAGCACTAAGACTCAAGCAACCACAGGCGACTCAAAAGATTACATGTCCTAGACCTGCCCCACATAACTAGCTAAATATGTAAAGTAGGTAAATATATGGATTGATCGTATTGGAGCCCAAGCCATCCGGTTACGTAATATTATTGTTAACAAATTTGTTTATTGTCTAGTATAAGACAGATTGAAATTAAAAACAACAATTTAAAAAAAAATATTGGGAATGTCTAAGTAAAACACTTAATTAGGCAATATTGAAACTATTTTTTATAATAAACTGTTTAAAGGCAGTTCCCAGTTTGGCAGCCGTTCGCAATGCTCACAAAATTTAGATTTTAGCTCTCTGTTGATTGCATTATGTTTCCGAATTAGATGCCGATTAGATTATGATGATGTTTAAACAAAGTAAAGGTGGACGATAGCCTATTTCTCTTTGCTATCCACTGTTAGCCATCTAATGGAAACTGCCTTAGAGCCAAAAGTTTACTCTTCGCTAAATCTAATTATCTGACAATACACATAATTATGTATTTTTTTATTATTATTCTTTATTAAAATATCTAGAAAATATTATTCATGAACATATTATTCATGGCAACAAAGGCAAACACACTTCAAACAAATGTCCAAATACATTAACGAAACGCCAGAGTAAACACGAATATGTGCAAACAAAGACTCATGCATACCTACAAAATATGCATATTAAATTCCCTGGAACGTTTATCGTTTTATTTGAGGGTATAAAAGCACAATTTTCTGTTTTATGAGCTGAAAATAAAATGTATTTCCATCCAGCCAGCTAAGCTTAGCAACGTTTGCAATTAAAAGTACTTAAAAAAGAATGAAATTACATGGCGTATGCGTATCTTGGGCCAGCGGACGAGGGTCAGACAAAACGTTAACGCTTCGGTAGCTCAAAACTTAATTCAATAAGCGCCACATTTGGCGCTTGAATTTAACGCTTTAACGCATTAATGGCCCATTCTACAATTAAACAAGGACAGATTTTCCAGAGGAGGAATCAGCCGAGTCTCTGTCCCGCTGCGCAGCTGTTGCACGCAGCTAGCAGTAAGCAGCGCAGAGCAGCGCAGCGCTGCGCTAGGTCTGGGCAGCGCAGCGACAGCCACACCCCCTTTTTACCTCAGCTGCCATGTGATAGAAAGTGAGCTAACTTTGAGCACAAGTTAGACACAGAGCATAGCAAAAAGCAAAAATTAATTTTGTTTTGCTTTTCTTCGAACATGCGTGGTAATTGTCGGCTCGTGTTTGTCGATTATAATTAACTTTTTACTTTTGCACACGACAATTTAAACAAAGAGTTTGCTCACACATTGCCAACATTGTTTAACGTTCGGCGTCGTTTGAGTGAGTTTCATGACAACGAGCTTCCTGTGGAGTGTTGAGCTGAGTTTGCTCGGAAGCAGCGCAGCGACTGCGAGCAGCATGCAGAAAGCAGCAGGCAGCACTTGAGTTTTTATTCGTCCATTCTCTCAGTCAGTCTACGTTGAACTTCGCGACGCTGTGGACGTCAACGCCTCTGCCGACTGTGCTAGTGTGCGTGTGCATAATTACGCTAGTGAGTGCGACAGAGACACAGGCAGACAGAGAGAGAGAGAGAAAGGGTGAGCAACCGTTACGTTGTGCTTGTTACACGTGAGTCGCAGCAGACTAGCAGATAAACAAAACAGCAGCAAAAGCACAAGGAAAAGAGGGCGCGCTGCCAAAAGTCAAATTACGCGCGTTTTTTAGCCGCAGTCAGCTCTAACGAAGGCAAAACTTTTACCTTTACGTAAGTGCACAACATTGTTTTGTTTACATTCTTTTATTTCGTAAATGGTGTATGGCAGATACCTGTATGTATTTGACGCAACATAAAAAGTTTTCGTCGTTTTATTTGATTTACGATTGAAGTTTTCACTTAAGAAAATCAATAGTTCGTTATCCTGCCAAAGGTTAGTTTCTATGGTCTACTCTACAAATATGTGGGCCCCTATAATTATGGGCCAGCAGCGGCACCGAAGCCAACTTATAATACTAATTGAAAAAGTTTTTCTGCTTTTCAATTTGCGCCTTTACAATAGCAACAAATGGAGAAATTTGCATTTGTTGATGACTCTGCAAATGCTCATTGAACGGTTCAGCAAACTTTTTCAAGGCTGCTCTCATTTATTGGGTCACCCAGCACAAGGCTTGCAAAGAAAAACCCCCTTTAATGCAGAACAACTTTGCATCGTCAGCGATTGTGCGTATATGTTAGAATGCTACGGCTCAAATTACATTCTGAGCGCGCTCACATTGGCAATGGCATAATTAAGTCAGAATATTGATTTAGCTGGTATCAACTCAAGTTGTCAAGTATATGGGAAAATATGTTTTATATCCTGTTCTCAAGCTGTGCAACTAACCTCTAGTTATTTTTATTATATTATATCCAAATTATTAGCCAGCCCCTCAAAGCATGCTATGAAAATTGTCCTTATCCTGATATACCTGGCCTGACTTTTGCCGTTGCCCGCCATTCACGCTTTTATAAATAAGTTTTTTAAAAATAAACGAAAAACGTGTCAGTCAACGACACTCAATTTCCTGCTTCGCTTCGGCTGTCATCCATCCGTTAATTGTAGCCTTGAACCTTGGCACTAAAATACCCAGCGCTAACAGCCGCAGCGATAAGAAGTCGTCAATCAGTGCGACTAGTCGAATACCCTGGCGATTAGAGACTGATTGTATACGGATCATAAAAGCTTTGGAAGTGCATACACCAGCCACCTTATGCTGGTACAGGGTATTTGTGCGCTCTCCTATCAGTTTATAGCCTCAACAAAAGTATATTTAAGCATCTTTATACATGCTCTACAATGTATATCTGCGCTCTATAAAACTGTTGTCAAACTCTAAGCGCGTGAGCCGCATAGCTTAATGCTTAAGTTTTCGCTGTCATACGTTGTACGTGTTCAATCTAACAGAATCATGTTTGAGCAGGTTGTGCCACAGAGCGGACCAGCTGACTATGATTACCCTCTGCGGACTGGCGGCCAGACGGACGGACCCGCTAGTCGCGAATAACTAGCGCAGCAGTTGTGGTTATTTTCAAGGACCTTAGAGCTGGTTCGCAGCTGTGGTCAGACGGCTGCCACTCAAACAAACAAACATACACACGCGCACACACACGACTGGTCGTCATAGTCCTTTGTGGCGCGTGACGTTTTGCATCGTTGGTTTTTAATTAAAAGCTGTCAAAACGGTCTTCGCTTGCCCTGGCCCTAAGCAAAGCTCATTAAGTTTTTTTCTTTCTTTTTCCGCCAAGCCCTTAGTTTTTAGCACTCACACATAAAGCACTCAAAAAAGTTTTCATTGCGTTTTTTTTATTTACAGCGCCCACCGCAAGATGTCGCTGCTTACGGCCAACAGTCACTCGCTGTCCGAGGAGGAGATCGATGAGTGAGTGTGCAAATCCAAATAAATATATAAAACTAACTTAGACTAGGACTTGCAGCAATCAAATTAAGTTGCATGCCACGAACTTTGTTTACTCAATTTGCTAAGACTGCGCAACTAACGACAATGGCAACAACAATGTCTTAGTTACAGCCAAACAATTTGCACTTTGAACTTTTTGCGTTAGCTTTTAGTGCTGGTGGCTGCAGGCTGCAGCCAAAGTTTGTCAAGTTGTTTTTGGTTACGAAGACAGAGTGCAGCAAAAAGATAAGAATAAATACAGTCCTTCCCTTCTTTCGCCTTAAAACTCTATAGCACACTTTTCAGTGCTGGCCAAGCAAATCGGGTTAAAGGCCTAACTCAATTAACTCAACAGCTGCCTGTCGAGGCCTAAAAATACACATGCCCCAAAGCAGGTCGCTTCAGTATTGTGAGCAATAATTGCTAGCTGTCTATGTGTCTGTGTGTGTGTGTGTGGGTGGAGCTGACTGCGTGGGAAGTGTCCAACAGGCAGTGATAATCAAAAGCAGCGTAGCCTAAAGGCAACACAATGACGCTTACATTGCTCATACGCACAGTAGTTCGCAAGAGTTTTAGCATGCGACTGAGCACTACCCTGTAAAAACAATTGATAACTGAAGAAAATTAGCTATAAATGTATCTATATATTATGGACTTTTATTACTTATATCTTTAAATATTTATATCTAAATCTAGTAAGTAAGTAAAAGTTACTTTTGATTTAAATAATATTATTATTTTTGCCATCCCATCCCATATATATTTCGATTGTGTATAAGAATAGCAGTGACAATGCACATGTCACTGCGTCTAAGACCATAATATAATTTGAGCATTATTGATTGGCCTTTTGGTGTAGTATTTGAATTTTGACCACGTTCGACGGCCTGTCGAACATAATTCTATTTTCAATTTGACAGCACTGACGCGTGAGTAATACAAAATTTGGCTGACAGGATTACGATGTGGCCATGACATTTGTTACAACTGCCTTAGAGCTCCTGTCTCTGTCGTGATACTTGAATATAATCGCTTTGCTTAATGACGTGCGAATTTGTATTGCTTCGGCGTCCTTCAATTTCGGTTCTTTTATCATACATCAGACACCTTTTCTTCAACTCTGACCTTTAGCCAGCTTAGACTGAGTAATTTGCATGGCAATTGCAGGCCAAGCGACTAACAGTTGATTCCACAGCATTTGTGTGGCAGAGGTGAGACTTGGATTATGAATACATTTGATTAGAGTCTTACAGATGAGCTTACAATAATTAAATGGCAGTTAGCCTTAGTGTTAATACTATAATTGACAGGCATTCAAATTCCTCAGATCAGATCGATACCAAAACACTTATGCTTTTTAAGACCTTCCTAAAAGTATGCTGCGCTAATTCACTTCAGCTCTTGCCTTCTGTGCTTCTGCCTGTTTTGGTAACCACAATGCGATGGCTATTTGTTCGTTGTTCGTTTGCATTAAAAGCTTTTGCGGCTGATTCTTGTGCTCATGCAGCATCTTCTGTATCATTTATTAAATGTAATGCGCACAATATGATTTATGGCATTCAAACGGCAGTTACATAAGCCCCATGGAATTTGATGCCAAATGAGAACTGACGCGAGCTGGCAAAGACTTTCGTTTTTATTCAACCAAGTCATGATAAATTTGTTGCCCCACAGTGCGTGGGCGGTAAATGCAGCACTTATATGAATATGTATATATAAATATATATATATATATATGTGATTGTGTGTGTGTGTGTGTGTGTGTGCATGGATCTGTGTGCTGGAAAACTCCGACGCATACGATTCAAGGCCATGACTATCGAGCGTTTTGTTGACAGCTTGTACGGAATTGCAGTGCACTTATGAGACTCAACGGCTCAACGGCTCAAAGGAACTGCAGCCAGTCAGCGTGGCAAACAATGCAAACGGCCATTAAATAACAATTACGTTCTTTGTCGAGGGGAAAAGAAAGTGTTTGAGTCGCTTTGTACATGCGACAGTAAAAGTTAACTTTCCTCTTTTTTTGTTTTCACTCTTTACTCCACGTCTTAAAGTGTTTGGCTTTTCGAATTGTATTTTAAGAAAGCATACACCTGTTGCTACATAAGAGTTTCCGAGAAAAGCAATATCAGATCGTTGCAGAGGGAGTTATCTAAATTATTTATTTTATATTTCATCTGGCTCTCAAATATATAGACAAATATATTAACAGAATTTCAAAGTATTTGACTTATAAAGGCCTGCAAAGCACTCAGACAGTTACTCAAGTAATTTAAGCCCTTTTTTGAACTTTACAGCTCAAGTGTTTTTTTTGTAGTCTTAAAGTACCGCAATATCAATGAATCACGTTAACAAAACCAAATATCAATTAGCCAACTGGACTTATTGACCTCCAAATGTGGTCGCGAGTCGCAACACGTAGCGCGGATGCCCTGGCTCACTCTTGCCCACACACTCTGTCTTTCTCTCGCTCTCGCTATCGCTCTCTCTCTCTATCTCTCTCTCTGTCTCTGCCTATATTTCTCTCCGTTATAGTCGAGCCCCCTTTGTAGTGTTGTTTCGTTTTTTTCTTTTCTGCTCATTGACGAAGTTTTTGCTTTTGCCTCCGCTAAACACATTTATTTACTTTTTCGTTTCGGCCACGTTTATGTATTCGTACTTGTGTCTTCTCTCTGGCATACTTCACTTAACATTGTGTATATATACACATATCTGTAGATCTGCCTCTGAGCTGGCTTTTGAAAGAAATAAAAGCTGGCTTTAAGTCGTTGTCTTTTAGTGCTGCGGTTGAATGCAAAGCGAATGTGTTGCCAAAAAGCTAGCAACAAAATGTGTGTATAATATATCTATGCAAATGATGTTTAATTTGCGGCAAACTCTTTGCCAAATATCAAAGTTGAATATGTTAATTAAATAGGGAATTGCCAACAGGTTTCAATACGCTTTTGATACATTTACAAAAATTTGAATACACGTATATATTTTGATGATACAAAGATTTGGGACACATTCGGGTGACACTTAGCGCGGCGACATCTTGTATTATTCGGAATGTGAACGCTGCACTCAATAAAAACTCACTCAATAAAAACTGAATTGCAATTTAATTGTGTAGTGGCACAGCGAATCACGCAAAGCAGTTATGCATGTGTGCTAATCTAGTCTAAACTACTTTAAATTGCACATAAGATGAGCCATATGCAAGCATAGCCCAAGCCTATCAGATCAAGTATGAAAATTACATGAGACGCATAGTGCTACGTTATGTTTGCATATTTTTCTAAAATACTGCGCTGTTAGTGTTCGTGTGTTAGTGTGGCATATGAACTTCCGTTCGGCTCTTGTCTATTTTGAACATCCCCATTAGCCAGCGCTGATAATATTGCCGTCGACTATAAAGGGCCTGTCGCGCCACAGTAAGGCTTTCAGTCGCTCCGAGACTCTTAACGTCTACAATACGTTTGCTGTAGCTGTACAATATAGCTGTTTTTTTTAGTTTTGCTTGGCTTATTCGTGAGTGAGTGTGCGAACACAAAATATTTTGAGCTGACGCATTAGTTAAACGAATGAATCGATAAGACAATTTTAGGAAAAAACAGACTGTCATCATGCCACCCACCATAACTGAGCATGAATTTAAAGAGCGTTGCCTCACAACTCCACAGGACGATGAAAAGGACGAGATGGACCTACATGTGTATCGTATAACAAGGTAAGAAATCGAGATGCCAGCAAACCGGTTCAAAGCAAATTCCTACAGACAGATGCGAATGCCATTGCCAATGGCAATGCCAATGCCGGGGGTTGGAAGATATTTTGGCGGGCTGTCAAAGATGAATGAGTCTATCAGCTGCTGAAATTAAAAAAAATTAGAAACGAGATCGCGACCCAAACCTAGACCATTTAAAGACCTGTTATTTGTATGTGGTAAGCTTTCCGATTTTATTATTTTAATGAATCGCTAAATTGGCTCTAGATTCATATGCAAAGATAGTGAATATGATCAGATGTTTGTTTCACGAAAAATCTAATCATTTTTCAACTTTTGCTATCAAGGTCAGGGCTATATACACATTTGAATATGATTAAATATACGCCTCAGCATATAAACAAATCAAGACTTCTGCCTTTTTCGTGCTTGCGGTGCGTATTTGACGCACTTGATAAGGCTAATCAAATGACGTTTACAGTTTTGGTGCTACTCTTTGACGAAGCCCGAAGCCCATAGGGGTGTATATACTAGACAAAGATATCGGCTCATTGGCTTCATATCAATTTACGTTGATTTTATATACCCATCAGATGACGAGCAGCGTATGTTTATATATTTCAATGTTATGGATAGCATTATTCAGCTAATCAAAAATTGATTGTTTGTTTTGTTACAAATATGTTTGTGTTTAAACATAGCAGGTCTGGTTTCAAGATTGTGTACGTACATAGGTATATAAAATTGAGCTGCAACGTTTTATGACTGCTATAGCAACTAGCTTTTGCACTCGACCACATCATGTAATGTACAAATTATGTGCATGTTGTTGCCTAACTGAACAGAGCATAAACTGGGGCTTTTTCAACACTGTCAATTGCAAATGACGCGCGCAATTTAAATGACTTTTTGTGCATTGCGCAATAAAATAAAAAATACATGTTTACTGACTCTTCAGGCTTTAAGTTTTAAATTTAACGAAGTGAAAGAGTATATGAATTTTGTGAAATTCGAGTATGTTGAGTATTTTTCGACCTTGAATGAGTATTATACATTCAAACTTGTATTTTATTGCACATTTGTTTTAAGTAATCAGCTGTAATTGCATTTGTTACACCGAACGCAAGCTAAGCAAACAGTTTGCAATATTAAATACACAAATACGTGCAATAGTAACCGTATTTAATGCATATATGAACGTATATTAAAGCTTGCATCAGCAGTCTTCATAATAGGAATTTCTTGGAAACTCGAATCTTATCGCAACATCAAAGTTATCAACATATTTCCGAGCATTTGTGTTTGCTCATGCACTTTATTAATGAGTGGCAATTATTGATTGCGCACAGCTTATTCATTTATAAATGATCAATCTATTTCTACTTACTTACAGATACTCCGATGGCACTGTTAAACTACGCAACTCTAACATTGAACTTATGGATCAGGATATATTATATCATTTGGCACTAGGCAGCGAGAGTCATGATTTGCAGGAAATGTTCGGAGATGTTAAGGTGAGTCCGATATGCATATGAATTAGATTCTTGAAATAGTCTATAATAAGAAAACAAGTTAGAACTCGTTCACGATTCAGAATCAGTAATATACTTATAAAACTTGATCCAGCTTCAGGTAGACCCGACAATGTATACCAAATATATACTCGATACGCAGCTTCAATAGAAAAACGGACACTGAGAAATGCCAATATACTCTGTTTTTTTTTTTCTTGTGAACGAGTATAAATACTGATATGCATATATTGTTAGACAAGGTTTAAATTCCTTTGCTTGATATTTATAGATCAGGTTAAGAATACTTTGCATTCCCAATATGATAATTTATGATATATAGCCAAGCTAGATTAAATAACGCAACTAACGAGTTTAGCAGTCAGCCAACTTTAAGCCTAAGTTTCTCTACTTAATATACCCTTGATAATGAAAATCAAATGAATTTTATTCATATATGTTTCATCCGTTCATAACCAGTTCGTTTGCATGGGCGGCACACCGAAGCGCATGGAGAACTTTGCACACTTCATTATGGATGAGATTGGCTATAAGCTGCCTGCTGGCACCCAGCTGCAGGACATTAGCGCCTATTCGTATCGCTACTCGATGTATAAAGTGGGTCCAGTGCTGTGCGTCAGCCACGGCATGGGTACACCTTCGGTTAGCATACTGATGCACGAAATGATCAAATTGATGTTCCATGCCAAGTGCATCGATCCCATCTTCATACGCATTGGCACCTGTGGCGGCATCGGAGTCGAGGGCGGCACCGTGATCATCACAGAAGATGCTTTGGACGGACAGCTGCGCAACTCACACGAGTTTGTATGTGTCTTGTTGAGTTTGTAATTGATTTATGTAATAATATTAACATATTTCGACAGACGATTCTGGGCGAGACCATACATCGGCCGGCTAAGTTGGATAAGAAGCTGGCACGTGAGTTGAAGTCGCTTGCCAGTGCCGACGATCCCTATGACACCATCATTGGCAAGACGCTGTGCACAAACGACTTCTACGAGGGCCAGGGACGGCTCGATGGCGCCTTCTGTGAGTTCAGCGAAACCGACAAGATGAACTATTTGGAGAAGCTGCGGAACAATGGTGTTGTCAACATCGAAATGGAGAGCACCATCTTCGCAGCACTAACGCATCATGCTGGCATCAAGGCGGCAGTGGTTTGTGTTGCCCTGCTAAATCGCCTCAATGGTGACCAGGTCAATGCGCCCAAGGAGGTGATGCACGAGTGGCAACAGCGTCCCCAGATCCTAGTGTCTAGATATATACGCAAGGTGCTGGCACAGCATGGCCAGTTGAAATCGCTCTTTGGACAACAGGGATCCATTAAGTCGCCCAGGCGGTTTAAGCTGGTCCAGCAGGAATCTCAGGCTCACGAGTAAAGCTAGCAGCCAAATGCAAAAGCAAATGCAAAGGCAAATGCAAATTATCATTGCATATTTGATATATTGATTTCAAATTACCTTTGACTTAAGTGTCAACCCAACTCGCATGTATACAACTTGTTTTAAAGCGTTGCTTTAATCATTCCATAGTTTAGTTCACTCTAAGTTCTTAGTTCTTATTTTCCTATGTATCCTTGTGAGTGTTATACTTACATAAACATATATATCTATATATATTTCCTTATTAGCTTATTTAAACTCAAGCGTATTGCACGTATTGGCGCCTTACCGCCGAATGCTGAAACAACTAACCGCAAATAAATATAAACATAAAATAAATCAATGAAGAAATAAATATCTTCGGCTTGCCTGAGATTCAATATCTTTGTAGACATATGACTTACGATTTTGCAGACATATGACAAGAAGAATATATGTATATATATATTTTAAAATACGAATTCATAAAGGTTTCCATGCAAAACTTTATTTCTTATCGATTCTTGCTAGAGATTTTTAGTTTGGTTGTCCGATATGGATTATATTCATACAAAAACTAATTTTCTCAGCTATCTTGCAAATGTCAGCCGTAGATTGGCTCAAACCAGCCAAACAATGATAAAGCTTAAGAATATATCAGCTCAGATCATCTCAGCTCACCATATCTGTTGCTGCACTAACCTCTACAAGGCTATCAAAACGAACTCAATGTGTGCGTTTCAAAATACAAAACTCTTTAAAATTGTTGTTGATTGGATCGATGTTTGCAAAATACATTTCAATAATGAACTAAAAGAAAAAACAAATACAGAAACAAAACAAAAACAAAATAGATAAAGAAATGCAAAAAAAGTTGTTAATTGTTATGTTGCATATTCCAAATAAGGCAAACCAAATATAATATACGATGTATGTATTTCAGATCATAATATAAGATTTCGTAAATTATTCTATTACACATATTGTACTGTAATTCCTAAACATTTGTTATGCGCCTGCGCAACTTAATGTTGTTAATCATGAAGCTATATTAACGAACGTTACTCTTATTCAGCTCTAAAACAAACAAAAAAATCAAATTATACACGTGGAAAAAAATAATAACTTAAATAATTGTCTATTTCTATATTTTATTTATTATTTATTTGCAATTTTCTTCAGAATTTTCGCTAGTTATTTGCTAATTCTTTCACAGCCCAAGAGCAGTGAGACTATTCTATAAAGTCCCATTTATAGGTTCATCCACTGAAGAGGTCAACATTTATCTGGCTGTAAAGCTGGTAAAAATACGCCTAATTATTTATTTCTCTTGCTGAATATAGATGGATAAATAGATATATACTACGCACTGTATAAGCTCCTATTGAACGTGGATATAGAATTATTGATCGAGCTGTAGAGGAGGAGAAGCTATCAAAGTACAGTCAAATTAGATATGTTACGCCCCAAGTCGTTTACAATGCAAAACCCGTATTATTTGTCGATTTTCCAGACCCCAAGTAGACGAGAGTATATGAGGTTCCAATATTGGTTTTCGCTCTCATTGCACTTTACACTTCATGAAAGTTTATGCTCGAGAGAGGCAGCTCTCAGAGCTCTCACAGTATCACAATCGAGCGTAAAATTCTTGAGCAAAGAAACGCGAAGTGAATATTTATTTACTCGGCGAGCTTTCAGTTGAAGGCAAACGCTGATCTCAATCGGAACGAACGGCGGAGAGCCGAAAAACAAAATACCAAATATTTGAAAGGTTAATATTGTTTGAAATAGTATTAATTATTATGTCAAATGTGTGTATACATATTAAGAGACGCCCGCAACAAAATATTTATATTTATATTTATATTTCTCTACGTGTCAAATACGCTTATTTCAGTAGGCACTTTTCTTTAGCAAACATTATCCATTTGCTTCTGTATTAAGACAGAGTGAAGAGTACATCGAAGTGACATTTGAACTTGATATACGCTGAGCCCATTGGCTTGTGCTCTGGCAAAAAAAACTCTAGAATGATTAGAGTATCGCATTGTTCAAGGTTTCTTCAAGTGCCGGCTACTGCACTGTAACTTGCTGAATGTTTCTTCGTCTGCTTTTGATCAGCTGAATATATTCTTATATCTTTCTATGCATTCCTGTAGTTATGCTTGGCTCTGTGAATAGCTTAAAGAACTGATGCATCAACAGCTCAAGAAATAAATCAGGCAGTTAATTATATTATATTTTTGGAATACAAAATATTTAAATGAAAGCTGTGGGAGAGTTTAGACTTATCGAAAAGTGTATCCCTATAGTGTGCTACCATCCGCAGCCACTAAGAATAGCTATATGCAACAAGCTGTTATCATTTAATATTTCTTAGAATTTTCACTGACAGCGTTATCGGCGGAAAGGCAGCAGAATGTCGTTGTAAGTAGAAATCGCGACCGAATATATATATACTCTTTGATTATTTATTTTTATTCTATTCACTTATCTTTTACCCCCAGTTCTACACTGAAGAATCCTCATCTAAGTGAAATGAAGACTGATTATCTATATCACTTGAACATTGATGTGACCGATACCCAGAACACGAGTGATATTCAACAACGATTCGGAGATATTAAGGTGAGCAGACTATGCGAACCATTTCGAGTAATGTATAGTACACCTCCCCCTGCCACCCAGGTTATATGCGCTGGTGGCACTGCCCAACGCATGCGAGATCTGGCAATATATTTGCAGCCTATATTTGGAATAACTGGCAAACCGGTTGACCTATGCGAGAGTGGACATCGCTATGCTGTCTTCAAGGTGGGGCAGGTCTTGTGTGTCAGCCATGGCGTTGGGTCCTCTACATTCTCCGTTGTGCTGCACGAGCTGCTAAAGCTGGTCAGGTATGCCAAGTGTAAGGATCCCGTATTCGTGCGAATCGGCACTTGCGGCGGCCTAGGCATTGAGCCAGGCACTGTCGTTGTCAGCAAGGATGCCTACAATGGTTACTTAGAGAATGTGCATGAGATCGTAAGTATCCCAATTACTTGGAACTGCCAAATAGTGTTTAATTTTAATTTTAAGGAAATCCAAAATAACAAAAGTATTTAAGTAAAGTCTTAGAAGTGGAATCTGCAGTCTACAGCTCTAAGACAGTTTGAGAAAAGAGTCAAAATAGAATGCAAATTATATTATTTTACATGATTAGCCCATTTTGGGAAAGCGCGTGGAGCGACCCGCCAGCTTTCCCCAGGACATTATCGATGACATTTTAAAGTTTGGCGCACAAAGTAACGATGGCTTCGCAATCATAAGTGCAAATACCATGTCAACAGACTGTTTCTATGAAGGTAAGTCTTTGTCAATTATATATAACTATCTGTAAATGACTTGTTCAGGTCAAGGACGCACCGATGGTGCTGTGTGCGAGTACACCGATGAAGATAAGATGAATTTCCTCAAGAAGGCATACGGCAAGGGTATTCGCAATATCGAAATGGAGGCCACCATGTTTTCCTCATTGACTCAATTGGCTGGAGTCAAGGCTGCGAGCATTTGCGTAGCACTAATAAACCGCTTGAACGGCGATCAGGTGGGTACACCTTACTCTAGAATTCAGTATTTAACTTAAGGATTTTAGACTTATTTGAAATGATAGGCCCACTCAAGATTTACTTTGCGCTTCTTAAGAAAAGATCCAAAATATTGATTTCATTTCTTAAATTTTTTAAAAATATTCATTCAAATTAATTTTGTATTTTTGGCAGGTTTCTATCACAATGGAGCAAAAAAAAGAATTTGAGCAACGTCCCTTTGTGGTTGTGGAACGTTATATTAAACATCTGCTCAACAAGTAAACTTTATTTGTGTATAGTTGAAAAACAACTTAGTAAAATAAAACTTATTCTTAGTAAGAGTTTGAAACAATTTGATGACCTGAGATAGGCTTCGTGCATCTCATTTATGCTCAATTTCTATTCGAAGGCTGCTGAAATATGACTGAAGTATATTAGTATTTCAGTTTTTTGAGATCTAAGTAATGTGAAAATCATTTAAATATTTCCATTAATGTAAATTATTCTAAATTCTGATTATTGGCAAAATTCTAAATTCCAAAAAAAAAACACACAAATTGCGCAATAACTGATAAAAAATGGGCGAGAAATGTCAAAAGAGTGTGAGCAAAAATGTTTGCGATCTAAAAGGTAGGTAACGGCAGTGGTCCTTTCAGTCAGACTGCTAATGCGGTTCTTTAGCGATGGTTAATGCCCAAAATAGACGAATCGATGAGCTCATAAGGTATATAAAGGATGGTTGCAGCGCCGTCAATCCAGCGGATTTGAATTGGACTATATGTAACTTGAACCCGTATATTGAGTGCCTTAATCCAGATATCCTTTACCATCTTACCTTGGATACTAAGACAACCGATTTTCCGAAGGTCTTTGGCGATGTGCGCGTAAGCTTATGAGATCTTACTTTATCAAATTATTACCCAACTGAAGGTCATCTGCCACGCTCACAGTTCGTGTGCTTGGGCGGCACAGGAGACCGTATGAATAAATTTGCCAACTTCATCATAGGCGAGATTGGTCTCACATTGAGCATGGCCGTTCAGCTAATAGATATTTCCGCGGGGGGCCATCGATATGCGCTGTATAAGGCGGGACCTGTGCTGTGTGCTAGTCATGGCATTGGCGGCCCCTCAATCAGCATACTGTTGCATGAGCTCATCAAGCTCGTATATCATGCGAAATGCCAGGATCCTGTCTTCTTTCGCTTGGGCACCAGTGGAGGCATTGGCCTGGAGCCCGGAACAGTGGTGATCACTACGCAGGCACTGGATAGCCAGTTGCGGCCCGCGTACGAAGTGGTCGTGCACACAAAGCCGCAGCTGTGGCCAACCACACTGAATCAGACGTTGGCCAAGGAGCTTTCATCGCTATCCGATCCCTGTGAAGATGGCTACGATACTGTATTAGGCAAGACACTCAGCGCCAATGACTTCTACGTGGAGCAATCGCGCCTTGACGGCGCCTTCTGCATGTACACGCCACAAAAAAAGATGTGTTTTCTGCAGCAGATCTCTAAGATGGGCGTTGCCAACATGGAAATGGAGAGCACCGCATTTGCAGCTATTCTACATCAAGCGGGGATACGCGCCGCTGTCGTTTGTGTAACCATAGTCAATCGCAACGATGGTGATCAGGTAGGTATACGCCATAGCTTGCCTAGACTAAACCAGGGATAACTTGATGTCCCCCACAGATAGACACTCCGCCAGACGTACTCAAGCAATTTGATTTGAGACCACAAATTCTAGTTGCTCGCTACATGCGAAAGGTTCTCTTCAAATGCGATGAAGACATCGTAGAAGGCTGTCCATGTGATCCCGTTCCAGAATGTAACTGACTTGAATATTAAATATCTTTTTTACACATCGTCTTTAAAGAATACCTAAATTTGTGTTGCAAACTACATTAGCGATCGAATTACCAACATACACACTGAAAGAATATTGTTCTTATGTCATATGTTTCATATGTAACCATATCATATAAATTATATATATATATATAAATGTGAGTATGTAGGAGTGGTAATACAAATTTTAAAATCATCAAGTGAGTCGTTCTTGTTGCTGCTATACTGATAAGATATTATATTTTATGCTTATCATGAGAATATAAGTTGAGCTAAACTTTATTTGCTAATTGTAATAGGGCTACTTTAAGGCGGCTTTTTGACGTTCCTATCGCATTTAAATTGATCAAATATCCGCAATGAAAGCCGAGTAGATCAAAGCCTGTCCGTTTGTATGGAACCCACGGGCACGAGGTACAGCAGGGCCCACCTCAAAATGATCAGATCATAGCAAATATCGAAGCTTTTAAAAGCTTTTTAAAGCTCTCAAAGTTTTCACTTCTTTGATCAGCTTCATAAGTGCTTATTTATATTTCTTGTATTTTATATAAATTTAAATACGTTACACTTCAAACATAATGAATGCTAGTAGAACATAAGATCTTCAATATTTATTTGCATTATCTATGGATTTCTTTTATCATTGGTAAGAAAGATTGAATAATTTGGGTTGATTATTTGTTTGCTACACTCTAAAACAAAAGAATCATCTAACTATGGAAACTATGGGAATAAGATCAATCGCTAATATGTTTAGACGTGTTTTGGTCAAAAATTGATGTGCTTACATTTCCTTGTGCTTATATTAAGTGGATCAGCCATATATAGTGTTACGGACTCTGAATGTATAAGACCCCCTACCATAAATAAATAAATGATTTTGTTATTTTAGCTCCTGTATCAGGAGCTTCTGGTTTGTGGAAGCTGCACAATTGCTCTGTGGCAGACGCAGCTGTGACTGTGCCGTGGACACCTTCTGCATCATATGCTGCAGCTGCTGTTTCTGTGCATTGGCAATGGAATTGGGACTCTTCAATGTGCCTCCGAGAGCTTCTGCAGCTGAAGCTATTTTACTTTTAATCAGACGATTCGGCTTGACCAATTCGGCTAGATCATATTCCTTAAGCTGCACATCTTTAACCGTAGCATCTGCTGGCTTCTCGGTTTTATTCTTAACAGGAGCTGTATCAGATGGGAGTTCCTCAATGACCATGCGCGTAGCGTGCGCGGGAGCCAGCTCGCCCACCTGATGACGCAATTGAGCCAATGATTTCATTGCGCTTGCATTTTCTGGCTCCAGTTCCAAAACACGTTGATAAATGCCATATGACTAGTGGGTGGTCAATTAGAATATATTCCCTTTAGATAAACCCATTACTTACTTCACGCCGATGTCCCTGACTATACTTGGCATCAGCCAGGCGCAAAAGCGCCTTTACATTGTGAGGCTCGAGCCGAAGACATGCTTCGCAGTCCTCTATGGCCAGCAAATAGTTCTTTAACTTTAAATCTTTTGGGGAAAGAGAATATCAATAGATATGGAACAGTAGTTGAGAACTTTCTTTCCAATACTCACACGAGATGGCGCGATTGTTATAGGGGCGTGCAGCCTGTGCCGGATCGAAAGCTATAGCACGAGTGTACTCCTTAATAGCATTGTCATACTCCTTGGCCTTAAAGTAATCATTACCACGCAAGCGGAATCTATTCAAAATAATAATAATATTATAGATATGGTTATGAAAGCTGTTTTCCTGCTCACCTCTCGGCATATTGCTCACGTTCAACCTGAGTTAGTGTCTTGAGTTGCGCCTGCAGACGCTGCTCCTCGGCACTCTCACATTGCTTTATCTGCTCCTCTTTGCTTGTTGGCTGCAGAACACTTTTAAGCTTTATTTGTGCCTGCTCCTTGGCACGTTCCTGCTCCAAATCCATGCGCAGTATTTCCTCATCTGGATTGTACTTGTCCCATTTGCTGTAGTCCGTGGACTTGATGCGCTGTTCATTCGTTGATTTAGACTGCGGTCTTGCGCTTGGCGCAGACGCTGCCTTAGACTTTGGTGTCTCAGTTTCATCCTTGTCAATCTCTATTTTGGTTGTCTTTCGCACTGGTGGCAGATCCATCGACGGAAGAGATGCGTCCTCCTTGAGCTCACTTAGTGCATTGTCCTTGTTTTTAATTTCATTCGTCCAGTCCTAATATTAAATATTCGGGAAAATAAGGGAATATAGAAAATCATATGTACATACATATATGGGCTTTAATTCGTGCTTGTCTAGCACGTTGCTGTGTTGTATTTTCTCCTCGGTACGAAACAATTTGCTGTCCGGCTTAAGCTGCTTTAGTTTCTCTTCGGCACAGCGCGTCAGATCTGGAAAGTAGCCTTCTTCGCCGGAACGCAATATCATCACAATCTTTTCCATTTCGCGTGCGTTCCCACATTTCTCCACATAACCGAAATCCAAATGTCCTATTGGTATTTGGTATTTTTCCAACAGAGTTTTACTTTTCTCCATGTTTAGTTAATTAATATTTACGACTCTATAAATATAATATAGTTGAGTTGTAAAATTTGTTTTGATGTATGTTTCTCTGCTATTATTGATTAAATAAATTTTATACATCATGTTTTTTGCTTGACAACGGGTTTTCCTTTTAGTAGTATTATTTTCAGTTACATTTAAATAATTAAAATACTAGAAAATAATCGACGCCATTTATAAACACCAAATAAAATGACAGCAAAACGTAACCTTGCAACACTGCACTAACGCCAAAAAGAATAAATTTATGTTTTGGCAATCGTCCTCCAACCCGGTTCTATGGTGTAATGGTTAGCACTCTGGACTTTGAATCCAGCGATCCGAGTTCAAATCTCGGTAGAACCTTAAATATAATTTTTTGGTTTTTTAATAATATATTTAAATATTTAAAATTGCAAAATGGTATACTACATTTTTTTCTCTTAACTAATTACGTCCAAATCCACATTTTTTTTAAATGTTTACTATTATTGCCACCAAAACTGCCGCTAGGAATTTATTTTACTAAGCTCTGCCATGTTAGCACGGTTCTATGGTGTAATGGTTAGCACTCTGGACTTTGAATCCAGCGATCCGAGTTCAAATCTCGGTAGAACCTGAGATCTTTCTTTTTCTTATTTATTAATTCGTTTTTAAAAATTTTTTTCATTGTCATTTTCGTTTTCAGCCAAAATTTTGAGACAAAAATATTTAAAAAAATAAAAAATTTAAATTCGCCCAACGTGGGGCTCGAACCCACGACCCTGAGATTAAGAGTCTCATGCTCTACCGACTGAGCTAGCCGGGCACTTGCGAATACAATGTCACATCATTTAAAAGAATAGCATCTCTAGTCAATGTGAACGAACCAACAGTAAGAGCAACTATATTTGCTCCACTTGAGAAAAATATTTAATTCAATTCAGTTTTATAAACTGATATTTTAATTTGTATTAATAAAAATTTTCTTATTTTAAATTATATAATAAATGAAACTTGTAAAAAAGAAAATTAAAGAAGCTTTCAAGGACATTTAAAGTATTTCAATTAATTCAATGTTGAGACTCAGTTCAACTATCTTCTTAACACTATATATATAAGAATGTGGTGGTTTTCCTAGTTAAAAAAATCAATCGCTCTCGATATTCTTTTCCAAATAAACATCGCCGTAACGGTGAATGCGATCGAAAATATCGGACTCGCTACCACTGCTGCTTGAAGATTGATAATCCACAGACTTGGCGCGTGCACTCAATACATCTGCCATCTTTGCTGTGGGACGATAATAAACCGAGTAGCGCTTATCAAAGCTACGAGAGCCCGTGTAATACTTGAGAAACTTGCGAGCCTTGCTCAGTCCAATGATGGGGCTAAGACTATCCTCGGTTAGCGTAAAGTTGCTCGAATTGCAGTTCTGCTGCCGGTTTGATGGTGCATACAGTAAATAACCCTTTTTAGTTAGCTTAATAGTTGGCTTCGCGACTGCAGCAGCTGTCTCGCAACCAGTTGTGGATGTGACAATAGTGCAGTCGCCATCGGTGCTCGAAAGCTCATCGGAAATTTGCTGTGAAGTGGTTGCGATCGTATTTATTGGTAACTTCATCAAATTTTTCATCGAATGTGCACATTCCGCATCAATAGACACAGCCGTAGAATTGCAGGCCACACTATGTTCATTAAAAGTTGATTGTTCCGGTAAATTTGACGGTGATGCAGAGGTCTCTCCGCTTAATTTAGGATCAGCACTTTGCAGCGATTTCTTTTTTTCACTCAAAAAGGTTTGCATAGAAAGTGACACAGCTAGTTTAAAATCTGCATCGGAATCATCTGATTCATTGGAAGTCATCTTGCCCTTCTTAGGTTTCTGGCGAGCATTACCGACTGTGCTAGTAGCCTTGTTACTCTTTACATTTTTTTCAGATACAGATCCTCTTTTTTCTGACGTCAATAACTTCTGTTTCTGGTAAGAACCTTTGACTTTGTTAGATTTAGCCATTGGTTCATTATTGACAATATTGTTAGATTTAACAGATTCCTTACTTATTTCAGGCACTGTAATATTATTCGACGACAAACTCGTAATAGACTTTGGCACAACGTCCGCATTAATAAACTTTTGTAATGCTTTTCGCATAGGCTTGTCTTCCGGTAGATATTCCTTGTCTAGAATGGTGTTTTCCTCCAACATATCTTCGCTGTCTTCGTCAGTTTGTTCAGCAAGAACACTAATCGGCTGACATTTTCTTTGCAATTTCGACCTCAACGTTGAGTTTATAGTCTTAAAACGACATTTGGACGGCGTTTTTAACTGCATAAGATCCGGACTGCTTTCATTCTCAACCACCCATTCCTCTGTTGACCTATTGGCGATGTGCACCACATTCGAGCAGAGTCGATCATTGTTGCAACACTTATAATCGCTCTCTAATAAACGAGGACGCAAGTCATCCTCGAATGAATGCTGACGTCGCAATTGACGCACGCTCCGCTTAAAAAGGCTGTGCGACGTTCTCGACTCCAATTCAAGTCGCTGATGATGATATAGGCTGTGCATGTGATAGCTGCGATAGCCATAATATGGATGCGCTGTCATGGAAAAGGCACGCCTCATGCAGGCACTGCAGTTGCAACGGCTATGGCCAGTCTCATCTTCGCTAGAGGATGATGATGGAAAATGTGGTGAGCTGTCGTGCCGCTTTCGGAGCTGCTTGCGACGCTGCTGGCCATTAAAGCTGGCCGCAACCCTGTACGGATAATGACTGGGAGTTGTGTGATAAATTAGTTCACGTTCACGTCCACGCTCACGATTGCATCTGTGCAGCTGGTCACGTCGATGGCGCAGCGCCTGCATGTGGTGTCGATGCTCCTGATCCTCATTGTACTCATCGCAGCCGTATTTGGCACGCAACTCGTCGCGCTTCCGCGGCAGCGTGCGATACATTTTGATTGTTGTCATGGGACTGCTGCACTTGGAGGCAGTCGACACAGTCCGCTTGCGACTGGCGCGTATGTAGCGTGCTGTGTCCACAGAATGCATTGACTCAGTTTCGCTTTCGTTGCTGACATCCGGCGAGTAGACATGATCAGTTGCAGTGTAGCGCCTGCGGCTAAGTTTTGTGGGCGACATTTGCTGAAGAGTCTTGTCACCATAGGCACTGTTATGGCGCCGCAACCAATCACCCACATGCCGTTCAATCTTCTGCTCATCGAAGGTATTTAGTATACGATCTAGACCAGCAGCTTTCCATTTACGTACGTGCTCCTGAACGATTGGCAACGTTTGATTTAAAATCTCCTTATTATCGCTGTTGCATATCATTAAAGTAAGTTCGTCCTTGCTCATAGATGCCGTTGTGTTGTGGACCTCTGTCTCAACAGTATCTTCTACGGCTTCTTCAATATCGACAATACTTTCTTCATCCTCGTTTTTATACAGCTCATCGATATTATTCATATTTATTTCCACGCCATCTTCCATATTCTCACACCGCTGAAGAAGAAAGAAAATGACGATAGCGTCAAAATTTAAATGGCGATCGTATATTTTTTTGGACTTACTTTAAGAAAGTTTGCCCATATTTTGGAACGTTCATAGGTTAGCGTTTCCAATGTTTCTTCATCTACTAATAATTGCGACATTTTCGCAGTTAATCGAATTAAACGCCGCAATAAATTTTCCTTACTGTTTGCACTTTAGCTTCCTTTTCGAATAGAGTTGCCATATTAATTGAAAAATCAACTGTCATACTTTTTTATCGAACAATCTTCATGCTATGCTGCGCTTTAAATTTAATTTGAACAATTTCTATACAATTTATAATTCTGTTGAACAATGATTTAAGTAACAAAAGTAAAAATTGTATCGAAATATCAATGCATTTATAAAATTTCAAAAATTTCTTAATATAATTGCCGAATAGCTGCCAGAAGAATCGTCTAATCGATCAGCCGCCACTTTTTAGAGCCACACTGCGCGGTATATCAAATGTAGGTTGCATTTTAGATTTTGTTTTATTTTAAAGTTGCATATGTTTTACATTATATTAATAATATTAATATTGCAGATAAACAAACGAATACATATTATATGCCTAAATAACTGTTGAATAAACATTTGCCACATGGCTCAGTTGAAATACGTAATGTACAACTACATAAGTATATATAAACTTTCGTTTTTCATAAGTCTAACGCTGCTTGCTCCATTGGCCACTATGTCGGAATATGTTGGTTACTGCTGCTGTTTGTTGTTGCTTGTTGGGTTTTATTTAACATGTATAGTATTTATATAGAATATATATATGTTTGTTTTGTTTTGGAATATGGGTAGGCCGTTTCACGGTCTATTTGCGATTGTGTATGGCGCGATCCATAATATTATTAATACGCGTCTCCGAATAGCCCGGCATCAGCATATGGATTAGCTCCTTCATGAACAGATCGCTAACGCCCGGACTGCTACGCTCGGCCAGCTCAAACACAGACTTCAAATCGCCAATGTCACTGCCGACCCCAACGCCATGCATGCTCTGCAAATTCTTGCTGCTGTTGCTGTACTTGCGCTGTATGTCGCTTAGTACCGGGAAGAGTAAATTGTTTAGACAAGCGCTGTTCGTATGATATACCATTCGCTGGCCCTGCCCGGACGATAGCTTGCCGTGATTGGATTGATTGGAAGCCAATGAATCGTTATGTTCGGCAGCGTTCATGCCACTGTTGCTGCTGTTGTTCACGTTGTTGGCGCTTGTCGCATGGAATGATTCACGGTTGTTGCTACGACGCTGCTGCTGCTGCTGCTGCTGATGATGCTGGTCCATACTAAGTGGTAAGCCCAGGGAGGCGCGACGTTCCTCCACCTGGTCCAATGTGGCAACCGAACGCGACTGACGCAGCTCTGGCTTGGAGCTGGCACGTTTCTGCATTATATCAGTGGCCGAATTAGATGTACTGACCGGCAGCATCCTTCCCGCGCCCGAAGATGCATTGCCGGCTGCTCCTGCTCCACCTCCACCTCCTAACCCTCCACCACTCAATGACGCATTAAGCATGGTTGTTGTGGCATGTTTGTTGCTGTTTAAGTTGTTGTTGTTACTGTTGTTATTATTGTTGTTACTATTGCTGTTACTGCTGATCATTGCCGGCAAGTCGCTGCCAGACGACGCCGCCGATGTAAGCGCATTACCTACATTGGCTGCACTCGCCTTGCCCTGGCCTCCAATACTGTTATTAATGCTGCTGGTCGAAGCTGATTGACTGCTGGTGGCGGAGGAGCCACCCGAGGGCGAGTGTGTAGTGGCCATAAGCTTCTGCATGGTTAGTTCGTGCTCCTGCAGCTGAAGGCTGTTGACCCCAGCACGCGGTGCACTATTGATGTGTAGCCCCTTAACGGTCATTATCCAGGGCTCGTCGTGACCGCTGCCGCCGCCACCGCTCTGCTTGGCATCCGAGTCGGAATCAGAGTTCTCCGACTCAGTTTCGCTCTCATCGCCTTTAGAGAGTTTCCATTTTTTGAAGCGATCGATTAAGTCAATTAGATAAGCATTCTTTTTAGCCTTTTTAATGAACGGATACTTGAGCAACTCCTTAGCAGTTGGTCGATTCTCCGGATCCTTGTTGAGGCACGCCTCAACAAAGTCCTTGAACGACTTGGTATAGTTGCCAGTCAATTGGGGCGGATTGTTTTTCGGTATTAAAAATAGTACACGCATCGGATGCAACTCCGAATTAGGTGGCTCACCTTTGGCAAGCTCAATGGCTGTGATGCCCAGCGACCAGATGTCCGCTTTGGAATCATACTGTGATTGCTTTATAACTTCGGGCGCCATCCAAAACGGTGTACCTACAAAAGTATTTCGCTTAGATGTCGTATTGGTAAGTTGGCCAGCCACTCCAAAATCGGCTAGTTTTACGTCGCCAAGCTCGCTGAGCAGAACGTTCGCTGCCTTGATGTCACGATGCAGCTTGCGCTCTGAGTGTAAATAGTCGAGCCCTTTGAGTACTTCCCGCAATATGATACCAATATGCATCTCTTCGAAGGAGCCCGCTTTCATTAAGTCCAATGCAGAGCCGCCGCCCAGGTACTCCATAATGATCCATAGTTTGGTTCCTTTCAGAAAGGATCCATAGTATTTAGTTACATACGGCGAATCGCACTGGGAGAGTACCATGATCTCCTGTTGTATGTCATCAATCTCATCCTCAGCTTCCTCCAAATCAATTATCTTGATGGCCACCACCTGCTGCGTTCTGTTGTCAATGCCTTTGAAGACCTCGCCAAAAGACCCTTTGCCAATGCGCTCTTGCTTGGTGAAGATCAACTCAGGATCCACTTTCTCAGTCCAGGACATGATAGCTTATGTCACTTTTCACACCAGGCCAGCTGACTTAAAATTTTGGTTCGTCTATAAAATTTTCAAGCAAAAACAAAAGCAAGAAAAGGTAGCAACAAAAAATCCCAAAGCAAAGTGAGTTACGGCTCGGGCTGGCTCTCGCTCTCTTTAGTGTTGTTGCTGCTGCACGCACTCGAATCTGGTTGCGTTGCACTATTGTAGAGACTATTTTGATATTATGCACACACATACACACGCACTCATCAACTATTTGCCGTATTTTAATCCTTTGCGCTCACATTTAAAAGCATTTGAATAACGAACGAGCTATGTGTTGGAGGAAGGCACAAAATTTTCGCAGTTGATTTCGTTGGCTTTTCTTTTGCTTGATTCTTCTCTCCTTGCTTTTTGTTGTTGCGCTGCGCTGGCCGTATTAGTGACGTGCAACTGAAATATCGATAAGTAGGTATTAAATATCGATGTTTAAAACAGAAACAGATTGATCATATAACAGGCTTTTTTCTATACTTTATCTACACTTATATTTATTGCACTTAATTGGTTAAAATACACCCAATTCTGAAGCCGAATCTTTGATATTTGCAGACAGTCTGGTAGCTTACAGTGTCTTAATTTTTATATGTTGTTTGGGACATTGAATCGATAAGAATATATATATCGATACATTTCTTTAAATATTCAGCACAGCAACAGCATGTAAATGTAAAATTGATATGATTTCATAAAACCAGTTCAGTTTATTCAAATACTCAATCCACCAACCAATGAATGAAACTAATTTCGCAATTAAGTTGAAAACTGCAAGAGGACCTGGCACAGCCAGAGTAGCGTAAGCAGTCGAAGATTAAGAAAGCCCTTATTAAAAATGATGTACCTGCGCCGCCTGTTCACCCAGGAACTGTCGCCTGTCACGCAGAGCGACCTGTTGGGCTGCCTACAACATGCGCCCCAACAGCTGATGTGTGGCGGATTTGCGGGTGCACCCGCTTTGGAAAGTTTGTCCTGGTTACACAATCTGGCGCCGTGCTTTCCGCTGCGTGGCGAACAGATACAGATTATCCATGAACCGCAGCACTTTTATCAAACATTGATACAGCGCATCACACAAGCCAAAAAGCGCATTGTATTGGCCAGCCTGTACCTGGGGACGGGTCAACTAGAGAGCTCCTTTGTGCAAACGTTGCGTCACAGCCTGAAGGCGGAATCGTCACTGCGCCTAAATGTTCTCCTGGACTTTACACGGGGTACACGTGGAGCGGCCAACTCGAAGACCATGCTCCTGCCACTGGTGCGTGAGTTTGGTGAACAGGTGCAATTTTCGTTGTACCACACTCCGGACTTGCGAGGCATGACCAAACGATTGGCGCCACCCCGCTGGAACGAGCTCTTTGGACTACAGCACATGAAAGTGTACTTATTTGACGATGCGGTCATTATATCAGGGGCCAATTTATCCAATGACTACTTCACCAATCGACAAGATCGCTACATTCTAATTGAGGACAAATCGTTAGCTGATTTCTATGCACAATTTATTGAGCGCGTGCAGGAGTTCAGCTTAGCTGTGGACGCTGATGCGGCGGAAAAACTGCATCGAAATTGGCGTATCTTACCTTACGAAGGCACCAAAGATCAATTTATTCGTCTGGCTAAAGAGCGAATAAAAAATTTCGTACAGGATGCGTACCAGAGGCAATTGCAACTCAGGGAGCAAAGCAGCCAGGCGGACACGTGGGTCTTCCCATTGCTAGAGATGGGTCAGATTGGCATACACCATGACAGCGTGGTGACCAAACAGTTGCTATCGAAATGCATTGCCGGCTCTCGTCTCAAACTTGCCACCGGTTACTTCAATCTCACGCAGGAGTACATGGACACTATCACGCACAAGTGCCTGGCGCAATGCAGCATACTCATGGCTCATCCGAATGTAGGTGCTGACTATACAAATCTTTACATTTAATATATTTTTCATTCTTCTGATGCAGGCAAATGGATTCCAGGGCGCCAAAGGACCCGCTGGCGGTATTCCCGCTGCCTATACACTGATTGCGAAGAGTTTTTATGAAAGCTTAGTGCGACGACAGCAAAATCATCGCGTAAACTTTTTCGAATACGAAAAGCCCGGCTGGACCTACCATGCGAAGGGTCTTTGGTATTATTTACCCGAGGCTCGCCTACCCAATTTAACGTTAATCGGTTCCTCAAACTTTGGGGAGCGCTCGGTCAATCGTGATCTAGAGACCCAGGTGTGTCTGGTGACTGTTAACGAGGAGCTCAGTCAGCGACTTCAAAACGAGTCGGATCGCCTGTATGACCTGTCAACGACAGCGGAGCGTGAGATTGTCCGGAGGCCTGTGCCGCGTTGGGTACAGGCAGTGGTGCGCATATTTAGAAATTTCTTTTAGCTGTAAATACCAAGTCACATGCATAGTTCAATTGTTGATGTTAAGGGCCAGTTACTATATTTGTAGTCTACAATGTGTGTAATGTTTCAAGTTTGGTTCGTGTATATTGCTGTGAATTCATTTTTTACAGTCATACAGTAATAATTAAAGAAAAAGTTTTTAAACAACATGCCTTTGCATAAATATTTTATTGAAAAAATATTCTTATCGGAATTTAGCTTATTGGTTATGTTTATTTAGTCCAATTACATCATGTCTAACTTATTTCATGATAAGCGGGTTTGAAGAGAGAACTAGTACAATTTTTCGGCATGAAATGAACTGGGTGGCAACTCTGTATAACGGCGCTGGCTTTGGCATTTGTCTTGTTCTTGTTATTCGGTTTGAAGAGAAATTGAAAAAAAAAAAACAACAAATTACGAATTGGAATTGCGAATCGGCATAGTTAGATTTCCATAGAGTAAGCTTCAAGTGTTGAAAAAAAGAATAAAAAATAGAAAAATAGAATACGAGAGTGGAGTTACGGCTCTCAACTTTTGTTTACAATTCAAGAAGGAAGCAAGATGAGCAAAGTCGCAGATCAGCGCGAGCCTTGGCTATTGCCAAATTTTGAATATGGCAGCGGGGTAGCCGCGCTTCATCAAGAGATTGAGCATTTCTACAACTACATAATATCAACGCCCACGGAGTATATGATGCGAGTGGAGGCTGTGCATCGAATTGAGCGTGTTGTACTTAGCATTTGGCCCGATGCCTGCATTGAAGTCTTCGGCTCTTTTCGCACCGGTTTAAATCTTCCCATATCCGATATCGATATTGCAGTTAACAATTTTTATTGGCAAGGCGCGCCGTTGCTTGAGCTAAAAAATGCGCTGATCGCGCGAGGAGTAGCGGATAACGTCAATGTCCTGGACAAGGCCTCGGTGCCGGTTGTTAAGTTTACGGAGCTGATATCACAAATAAAGTTTGATATTTCATTCAATACGACGTCGGGCGTAAAGGCGGCAGAACTTGTGCAGCGGTTTATAGAGCAGTATCCAGAGCTGCCCAAACTGGTCATAGTGCTGAAACAATATCTACTACTGCAAGGTTTAAATGAGGTATACAGCTCGGGCGGTATTTCATCATATGCCGTCACACTCATGTGCATCAGCTTCCTGCAGCAACAGTCGTTAAACGAGACTAAGATCTGCAAGAATGACAACAAATTGGGAAAGCTATTGCTTAAGTTCCTGGACTTTTATGGACGCAAGTTTGACTACTTTAAGTATGGAATCTCAGTGCGTGGTAGCGGGGGCAGCGTGGAGAAGTGTGTTCTACAAAGTACATTCGGTGATTACAACTGGTTGTCGGTGCTGACCATTGAGGATCCCATTACGCCGACCAATGATATTGGACGCAGCTCGTTTGGAGCACTGGATGTGAAGCAAGGCTTTGAAATAGCCTTTTTAAAATTATCAAAGCTGGTTGACCTGGACTCCTCAAAAACAAGTGGGTCAATTCTGGCCAGCATAGTCAATCTTCCACAATCTGTGATAAGCTATCGAAATTGGGTGCACTATAAATTTAGACATTTGGCCAGCATCAGTGCGCAGCCCATAAATGGAATAGAGCGATATTTTGACATTGCCGTCAAATTACGATTAAATGCGACCACTTCGGAAGATGAACAGGAGAATAAAAAGGAGATTGGTAGCAATCTCAATGGCATGCCTTTGACCCACAATGGCTGTCAATACAAAGGCCTGGGATGTTAGTTTTAAGATATTTACAATTATTTCCAAATACACATATATTATATATATATATATATATATATATATATATATATATATATATATATATATATATATATATATATACATATATATTTATATATATATATATATATATATATATATATATACATATATGTATTAATTAACTACCAGCATTTTAGAAATAACATTATTTTATACTTAGCTTTCATTATTTTGAATTCACCTTATCTGTAAATAAATATACAACAGTAGCAAGAAAGCGCTACCATAACTGAAAACGCTTCTCATTTGGCGCCATATTTTTATGTATGTGAGATGTGTTTTATACATCGATATTAAATCTGTAGATGGTCACTGCTATCGTTATTAACATCGCCCATTTTTTTTTTTTTGAATCGCTCAACAGCTACATAACTGGCCAATGTGATTGTAAGCGATATATATCGTCTGCCGGCGAAGACGAAGCAGAACAGCTGTGAGTGTTGTGTAAACGCAGGCCGTCAGAAAATTTGGCCGCACGCATTTTTCATAATTGTAAATAAGTAGTTTTAAATTTAAATTTAAGACATGTTGCACATATTGCGTCAGCGCCATGCAGCATTTGCAAGTGCCGCTCAACGTTGCTTACACACTACCACCTGCCGGCCGGGTTATATTGTCCTGTAAGTGTTGAATTCTAGGTTGCGGAACAAGTTCAATAAACACATTTTTCCGCTCATAGTGTTCCTGAGATCGGAGAAGAGGGTCAATTGGGCGAGGGATTGCTTATGCCAAATGGATTGCCGGCATTTACCGACATTACCATCGAGATGTGCCTTGGAGCCATTGGACAGCAGGCGGCCGCTGTGGAAAAATCAGTGAAAGCCCTAGAGCTGGACATAAAAAATGGGAAGAAACTGCAAGGCGCCGATATATACAGTGAACTTGATACAGTAACAGCCCCATTGGAGACCACGTGGGGTGTGGCTAAGGCACTTTATCTCGGTAACAGCACGCTGATACCCACAAAATCATATATGAACATACACGAGCGGGCGCGCAATGCACGTGCTGCCAAGTTCTGTAACAAAACGGTGTATACCGCCCTAATGCAGCAAGAGGATCAAAAGGGCGAGGCGGAAGAACGATTGCGTCAGAAATTCCTGCTTGAAGGCAAATTGAATGGCCTGGCGCTGAGCAAAGACGGCCAGGATGGGCTCAAAGAATTGCTAACACAGCTGGGACGGGAGCGTGGTAACTTTAAGAACAAGGTTAATATGGCTGTGCATGCATTTGCGCATGTGGTTAACGATTTTCAGCTTGTTCGTGACTTTCCGGACACATTATTGGAAGCCATGGCGCGAGATCCCAAACAATCACTCGAAGGCCCTTGGAAAATAACGCTACAACAGCCAATTGTTGAAGGCTTTCTGAAGTATTGTCCCGATCGTCTGCAGCGGTGGAATGTGTGGCGTGCCAATGCTCTCAAGGCATCGCAGCAGCAAGATAAAGCACTAGAAAACAGCACGCATCTGGAGAAAATCCGTGCCTTGCGCAAGCGACAGGCCAATCTTCTGGGCTATACCAACTATGCAGACATGTCCATGCAGACCAAAATGATCGGCAGTGTGGACAATCTAAAGCAAATCTTTGCCCAATTACTAAAATTTGCAGGCCCCGCACAGAGCGTAGAGATAGACGAGATACAAAAGTTTGCCAGTGCTAACGGTGCTGAACACAAGCTAGAGGCGTACGATGTTAGCTACTGGGCTCGCAAAAAACTCATAGCCGAACATCAGCTGCTGGAAGATAAGCTGCGAGAATATTTTCCACTGGGTCGTGTGTTCTCCGGATTGTTTGCACTGAGCGAAAAGCTATTCAATATCCGTATAGTAGAGCAGCCCAAGACTGAGGTCTGGCATCCGGCAGTCAAGTTCTTTAATGTGTACGATGGCGATGCCAGTAACAGTTCAACACCGGTTGGTGGCTTCTATGTCGATTGCTATTCCAAACAGCACAAGTTTGGTCGCAACAGTGGCTGGATGGTTGGCATACGGAATAGCAATAAAACAGCTGGCCTTACTCCGCTATGCGCACTTATCTTTAATTTTACAGATCCGACACCGGACAAGCCTACGCTTTTGGGCTACGATGACTTGCAAATGGTATTCAAGACTTTCGGTACGGCCTTGCAGCATCTGCTGACCCAGGCGGGCTATAGCGACTTGGCAGGTCTCTCCAACATTGAGTGGGATGCCTCACAAGTGTCCGGCTATGTGATGAGCAATTTTCTGGACGATGCGGCAGTGTTGCAGACTTTGTCTGGTCACTATGCCAATGATCAAATAATTGATGCCGATCTTGCGAAGAAGACACGTTTGCTGAAAACACAATTGGCTGGCCATAAACTATGCCAGGAATTGTATTTAGCTGACTTGGATGTGGAGTTACATCGCTCTACCGCCTTTTGGTTGGATGTCGTGCGCAAGATTTGGCCAGTGTATCAATGTATGCCGCTAGATAAGAAGGACGCGCATCCCTGCTCCTTGACCGACATATTTGCTGGCGACTGGGCGGCCGCACATTTTAGTCATCTGTATTCCAAGCTAATTGCCGCTGATATCTCGAGTGGCTTTGCGGAGCAGCGCAGCGATGAAAACTACGCCACAGTGGGTAAACGTTATAAGCAAACATTTCTCAGCTATGGCGGCTCGGTGCCTACGGCGGAAGTATTCCGTCGTTTTCAGGGTCGCGATCCGTCAGTGGAGGCGCTACTTAAATCGCTGGGCATATTCATTACTTCGCAGACCACCGAGCACAATTAAAGTGTCATCGTGACCAGAATTCAACGTTATCTGTTGTTAACCATTAGCTTAGATAGTGATTGGCATTAATAAATCGATTTGCGAGTTGGTCGCGTTGGATTATCTGATTATCGAGTCAATAAACAACACCTTATCGTGCATGTTGAGGTGTACCTCAATGTTCATGACCGATTTTGTCTGGCAACAGTTTCTTTATTTAAATAATACTTTACTAATAAATTGAGTAAATTTTATAACATTTATCGTTGGATTGCTCATGTCTTTTTATAGCGGAAGACAACAAAAGTCAGCTACCTTTTTGGTCAAAGATTAGATATTGCGGCTCGATTTCGTATTGATGATATTTACTTTACAACGCAGCTGTTAAAAAATATTCGGACAACCGCTCCAGTCTTGGGCTTCCTTGGCCTGCCAATATGTATTCTTAGAGACATGCATAAATTGAGTGCCACCCTCTACTCGCTCCCGCTTGAACCACATGGGCTCGTATGCTGGATAGGATCGCCCTTCTGCGATCGCTTGCTTTTCCTTTTGCTCCTGCTGTTTTCGTACCGCTCGCTGTTTCTCCTCGAGCCGCAATTTCTCTCGATTGGCTTCGTCCCACGCGCCTTCCTCCATGTAACGCTGATCGGGTCGAAGACGCGAATCCGTGGGCGCAACGCCCTCCTCCGGCTCGTTCAGCTGGCAGGCAAACACGGGCAAGTTGTAGTACCTGTCCGAATCGGGTGCAGCTGGGCGTCGCTGCCAGGCCACCTTGTACGCGCCAGCCGTGTAGTTGGGATTCTTTGTCGGCCCACTGGTGTGCAGCACAGGAGCTATTTCGATTTTGTCATTCCACGTGCCACGCAACAGCCATTTGGCCTCGTTGTTGCGATTGAGCACCACGCCTTTGATGCTGCGCTGCAGCTCACGGCCAAAATATGAGTACGGTATATAGTTGAGGATGCATTTGAAACCCTTTGCTGCATTGCTGCCAACGATCTCTAATTGACCCTCCAGATCCACCCACAGCTTACCTACGATTATATTATTCACAGTAGTCGTCACACGGCGATAGAAATAACGCCGCCCTGTGGTGGGGAAAGAGACGTAGGCACCGCCAACTGGATTTACCTAATCCATTAAGAAACAATGGCTGACTAACTGAGATGAATCAACTGCTTCAATCACTCACCTGCAAATATTTGCCTCGAAACTTGCTCGTCAGCGAGAATTCTTGCCAACTTATCCATTCTTTACTTTCACAATGTAAAGCGGTAATTGGCGGATGATGCGACACTTGCTCGGTGAGACAGCGCCAGCCCAAATCGTCAGTGCGATCGCATTCGTAGGTCTCTCCCAGGAGCGGATTAAAAGGTTTGTTTATCCGGCTCTCAGCTGTGGCATATGCAGAGACTGTGAAGGCTGCCAAATAGGCCAGCTGTTCGCACTCGTCGCTACAGCTGGCGGCGATGTCTAGCACATCGGAGTACTCATAGTCCTCGACGAGGCGCTGCAGCATCGATATTGGCTCGTTGAAATTAATGGGCATGGGTATTTTCGAGAGATCCTTGCCAATGCAGTTCTTCATGAGCGTCCAAAGGCTGAGCGGGTAGTTCGGTTTGTCCGGCACACGGGTGCGCCGACATCTGATCATTTGGACATCAGTAGAAACTGAATTAACTTTATCAATAGTTTGCATTTTTGAGCACTTGGCCAGCTCCAATGATGTTATCCACGTTTCTCGTTCCACCTCAGTTTCAGCCCTGATGCGAAAGCTCTGCAGGTTGCTGCCATCCGTAATGGCAAATGTGCACGGATCCACGTGTTCGATTACGGCTGCCTTGAGCGTTATCGAGCCGCGCGCAGCTTGATGGACTTCAGACTGATCGAGGTAGTAGCTAAGCACACCGTTCGAGAGCACAAACCAGCGTCTCTGATAGCCCTTCACATAATTTGTCCACTTTAGTAGCCAGCCCTTCATTTGCGTGCTGCTCTCGCTGGCAGTACGATTTGTTGAGCGCCCTCGTCTTTTTCTTTGTGACAATCGCACTTTGTTGCCAGGGGACGAGGAACGGGAGTCGTTGGCGGAGTCCGTGCTCATACTTGAGCTATTCCGTCGCTGTCTGTGGTGCGCTCGCTCGCCAGACATATTCAATTCCTAGCGAATAACTAAACGCAATTAAAAGCATCGACTCCCTGGTTGAGCGTTGCGACCGCATTTTGCTTGCGTTATCGCGCGAGCATTTCGCTAGACGAACAGATAAGGTATGGCAGCATTACGATTTGCGTTCGGCTCAGTTTTTTGGCAGTGACTCAGTGATAGTACATTATCGCGGACGCTGAGAAAGGTGGTGCCACTGGTGTTTCGCTCTTCTTCGGCTACCTGATTTTGTAAGTTCATGGAGTGGTTGGATTAACCATGCATTGCTTTTGTTTTCTTTTGTTTTATTTAAAATAATACTTTAATAATAAATTGCATAAATTTATAACATTTAACATATACTCGTTGCATTGTTTAGAACCTTTCTCGTTATATATGCATATACATATATATAAATATTATATATATATATACATACAACAAAGGTGAAAACAATTTTCGGCGAAGGGAAAATACGCTTCTCCTTGTTGTTGTTGTTGTTGCTGTTGCTAATTATTGTTTAGAGTGAAAAGCTGCTACGCTTTTCACTAGAACGAACAGGTCTACATATGTATATAGATTAGATATATATATATATATATAAATATATATTTATATATATATATATATATATATTTATATATATATATATATATATATATATATATATATATATATATATATATATATATATATATATATATTTATTTATTTATATATATATATATATTTATTTATATATATATATATATATATATATATATATATATATTTATATATATATATATATATATATATATGTGTGTGTGCATGTGTGTGTATTTTAATGGATGGTAAGGTCTATGTGCCATAAGTAATTAACTGATTAAAGCAAAGATTAAAATAAAAACCCGAACAAGGGAAAACAATTTTGATAAACGCAATCAATGCGATGCAATGCGAACTTGAGATTGAGCTCGCAATAAAAACATTTCAGTATCAACATTCGCAGCTACTTTACAGTAATTAATTTATATATGCTCTAAGTAGTTGAAAAAATGTTATTACATCGATTAGCTTTATAGTTCTGTAAGTTATCGATCCTGTTGAGGCGTCGCTTTTTGTTATTAGTGGTTGACAGCGGAGCTTCAAGGCTTGCATATTGAAATAATTCACATAAGATTGCGGCGTTTTTTTCTTAATATATATCTGGACAGCCGCTCCAGTTCTGGGACGCCTTGGCCTTCCAATATGTATTTTTCGAGACGTGCACAAATTCATCGCTACCCTCCTCCTTTTCGCGTTTGAACCACATCGGTTCGTACACTGGATACGGTCGCCCCTCGGAAGCAGCACTTTCGGCCTCGGTTTCGCGTGACCTGCGCGCCGTTCGCTGTTTGTCTTCAAGGCGCACTTTTTCCTTGTTGCTCTCTTCCCAGTTACCCTCCTCCATCAGACGCTGGTCAGGCCGATTACGAGAATCCGTGGGCGCTACGCCATCCTCGGGCTCATTCAGCTGACAGGCAAGTGTGGTGAAGTTATAATACTTTTCGGAATCCGCCGGGGGCGGCCGACATTGCCATGCCACTTTGTATTCGCCTGTGGTGTATGTTGGATTTTCCGATGTACCGCTGGTTTCCAGCACTGGCGCTATTTCGATTTTGTCATCCCAGGTGCCACGCACCACCCATTTAGTTTCATTATTGCGATTGATAACTACACCTTTCACGCTGCGCTGCACCTCACGGCTGAAGTAGGAATACGGCTTATAGTTTAAGATGCACTTGTTTCCATGCGCGGCATTAGTGCCTATTATTTCCATCGTTCCATGCTGATCCACCCAGATCTTGCCTACGATAATGTTGTTCACAGTTGTTGTCACTTTCCTCCAGGAGTAGCGATGCCCACTTTTAGGGAACAAAATATATGCGCCACCGAGTGGATTCACCTGAACAAAACGTGAATGTTAAGTTTTAAGGCAACAATGAAAAATCACAGCTTGTTTACCTGCAAATACTTGCCACGAAATTTGCTCGTCATAGAAAATTCTTGCCAACAAACCCATTGCTTTCCCTCGCAGTGTAAAGCGGCGATTGGCGGATGATGTGATACCTGCTCAGCTAGGTAGCGAAAGCCTAGATCATCCATGCGATCACACTCGAAAGTCTCACCTAGGAGTGGGTTAAACGGTTTACCCGTACGCACCGCTGTTGTCGCATATGTGGAAACAGCAAATGCCGCCAAATAAGCCAACTGCTCTGATTCATCTGTAAGCGTAGCAGCATGATCCAATACTTCGGAATACTCATAATCCTCCGCCAAGCGCTGCAGCATGGAGAGCGGTTCATTAAAATTGATGGGCATGGGTATTTTGGACAGATCCTTGCCAATGCAGTTCTTCATAATGGACCATAGGCTAACCGAGTGATTTGGCTTGTCCGGGACTCGCGTGCGACGATTGCCTGACACGCCCTTTTTGCTAGCTGAGGCAGATGGTCTTGATTTCCTCGTATCACATTTCGAACCTTCATCAACTTTGTCAGTACCATTATCTTCGTCGTCGCCGGAGGCAACGCGTGCGGCGCTAATTAGACACACCTGCTGCACGGTCTGGATGGTTCGCTTTTGCTCGTCGCTTTCCGAAGAGCTGCCCGTGTGGCCTTCAGAACCGACTTGATCCTCGGAGCTGCTGCGTCGCTTGTTGAGCTTCAGTATGAACGTGCTGTCTATAGGCGAGTCACCAGTCCGATCGTAGCCGTACTCCTCTGCATCATAGAATTCTGTTTCATCGTCAGAAGTTAAATTGGTGCCGGGAGCCCCTGGATTCATGCACACCATTGTGCTGGACGATGACATTGGCAGCGGCTTATTGCGGCGCACAAATACGGCAGCTTGCTCCATTTGCGATTGCTGTTTGGCCATCTGCTCGATAATCTCCTCGAGTCGCTGGCGCTGCTCACGCTCATGGTGTAGCATTTTAGACCATTTGTGGCCTTGCGATTCAGCGGAGCGCAAATAGTCGTTGCCCGCATTTATCATCGCATTTGATGTGATTCTGAAGAGCGTCGCTCGTTCATTGACTATCTTTGTGCGACTGGCAAGAGATTCCTCTTCGTTAGATTCCAGATCGTTTAAAGCACGCTGGAGTGCTGCGCCATGCTTCGTTATTAAGTCGTAGCAGGTGCGCATGTTTTCCAGACGTTCGGTCAGATCCCTCACTACAGTGTTGATCTCCTGACTGGGCACCACTTGTGCCGTCTCCTCTTCCTCCTCCTCTTCGCTCTCAATAGCTCGTATAGCTTTTACTTTGGCCAGTTCCAACGATGTCACCCACGACTGCCGTTCCACCTCGTTGGCCGCTTTTATGTGGAAGGTTTGTGTGCCACCGTTAGAGATGACAAACGTGCACGAGTCCACGGTGTGGATGAGCGCACCATGGAGCGATATTGTGCCGCGACACGTGTGATTGATCTCTGATTGGTTACGATAATAGCTCAGGACCCCCTTTGACAGAACAAACCAGCGACGCTGGTAACCTTTGATATAGTTCGTCCACTTTAAAAGCCATCCCTTCATTTCAGGATCCCCTCCGCCCTTTTCGGCTGCTGGCTTCGCCGCAGCGTCCGCCATGCTAGCAATCGGTCTTCCCCGCAGTCGTGGCCGTGCCCACCGTGACAATAAAAATCTATTAGCACTCGCTTGCTTACGACCTCGACCGCTTGTTGACCGATTCAGACTCAGATTCGGTTTCGCAAACGCCACGTACAATCGTAACGGGGGGGTTGGGTATGACAACAACTCCAAATCCAAGTCCGTAACAATAACTTTAATTAGCTGCTGTTTCTAGCAGCTGCTAGCATTATAAATTACACTTTTGCAGTATCCGTAATCGCATACACAATAAATTTCGTTACCTTAGCGGCAATACTAAGTACTTTTTTCTGCACAAAATAAAGAAACTGTGGAAGTCAAGTGCGCATTGGTGTGCGTGTGTATTGGTGTATGTGTGTTGCGATGTTGTGTGAGTATTTTATGGTGTGACCGACTCTAACTGCAAATTGGTGGTATTTCCACGATATGCATTTTATTGGTTAAGTTAATAAATAAAAATAAAAATATTTTTTTAAATTAAAAATACGCTTACTATGTAAGCAGAATATATTAAGCCCAACAATTATTGCATTGTATTTCTTTTCAATTTACTTTTGTTAATTTAATACTCTAACTAGCGCTGCCAACTGCTCTTAAAAAATACTACATACATACATCCATACAACCATTCGCCCGAACCGCGACAATTTGAAAATGGGTTTGTTTATTTTTCTTGCTTGTAAAAATGTATTAACATGAAGTGTGATTTTGTTAACGATAATTGAAAGCTGGCAGTTGTGCAATTCGTTTTTAAGCTCAGTGAGCGGTGACGCTAAGTATACCTGTGTAATATGATAAATAAACAAAGTTTAAGCACTAACGCCAATGTGTGCCACGGGCCTGTTGATTAATTGAAAGTTGGTTTTTACGATTGCCCCTTGCAGCTGCATGTGGCTGTCGCACACACCCACACACAGAGTAAGATAATGAGTCACCTTGCTTGGTGGCAATAAAATAAATATATTAATATTGGTATCGAATATAAGAACATATCAAATTTTATAAGTTAATTAATTAAATGTGTGTTTCGCGGATAGCACATTGGAAATAAAATATAGGTGGGGTGTCACATCAAGGTTCGGTGGCTCACTTCTTGCACTCGGCCCAGGAGTAGCGAAACGTGGCTATCATGCGGTAAAGGCTGCAAATACAAACTTGGTCGTAAAAGCTGAAGGCAAAGTTTATTGGACGACACACACACACACATTCAAAGAAGCAAACATAATGTCAGCTGAGTCAGCTTACCGACGAGACGGGGCACAGGTGGAGTCGGAAACAAACAAGCGGATGAACAAACACAAGTCACCAGATGAAATACATACATATGTGTACACACATACATAAATATATATAGGTATATATTTACACATATATAGACATATATATATGAATATATATATACATATATATATTTGTATATATACAATAAATCATTTATTCGTAGGCAGTTCTTGCATAATATAAAATAAATATATGTATATAGTTACAAGTAATTTAAAATACAAAATACAGTTTCATTTTCATAGTTTTTGTTGTTTTTTTTAGTCCCTGACGGCACTTTTCACAAAACATTTAGAAATTGGATGTTGAATAGATGGGTGGATTTTTTGAGGATTGCTGAAACAGATGCTTAACAAATAAACAAACAAATTGAAGACAGATTGCATAGAGCTTTATAGATTTATATGGATAGACACTAACTGATTGTGGGTGAGGAATACGGAGACAGACAGAGAGAGTGAGGGAGAGATAGAGTGGCATATGTAAGGCAACGTAAACAGCGATGAATTAAATCGAAAAATACATTAAATAAATACAGAGTACAGAGTATAGGCAAGTGTCGAGCTGAAAAGCAAATATAATGAAGTGCTTTATAGATCTGCTTTGTTATTATTACGAGTTCTGTGTATATGTGTGTGTTTGTGGGACTGAGTGTGTGTGTAGTATGAAAGATCATTTCTTTACATGGTATTGTATGCAGCAGTGTTGAAGCTTTGCTTTGGTAAACTTAGCCTAGTGAGTGGATGGGTCTTTCCATGCTGCGCTAGACGGCGATGCTGCACTTGCTGCTGCTGCTGCTGTTGTTCAGATTGCTGCAGATGAGTTATAGTGTTGTGCTGCTGCAGTTGTAACTGATTTAGATTGCTGGCAATGTGTCGGGCAGGTGCGGGCGGCGGTCGGTTCTCACTGTAATCGTGTGCTCTGTTTGACAGCGATCGATCGTAGTAGGAGCGCGGGCGTTGCCTGAAGCTAGTGACGCTTATGGTGCTGTTGATGGTTGTGGTGGCTGTATTGGCGGTGGTGGTGGCGGTTGCTGTTGTGTTGGTGGTGGGTGGCGGCAGTGTTGTGGCTATCGGCGTTGCCGCAACAGGATTGTTACTACAGGAAGTGGTTTGATATTTATGCACTAGACCTTTTACATTACGATCACAAGTTTCGCTTACGCTGGAGTCGGATGAGTTGGCCGATGTGCTCGATGAGGACTTTGCCGCTGATGTAATTGCAGCCACATTGTCCACCAGCACATGATCGGCATGCTGCGCAACCGGCGAGGAGGGTAGTGATTGATGTGTCGCCTTCTTGCTTGGAACAATTGCAGTCACATTCGTAGCGCCGACAGCTGTGCTGCCAATGCCCGACACACCCACCACGCCCGCTTTGGCTTCAAAGTTCTGCTTGAGTATTTGCACATTGCCCGAAATGCGCTGATCCTCGGCCACAGCAATATTTTGTGCACGCAACACCACAACCAGATCAGCTGCAGTGTTTTTGTTTTCAATATCGCTGGTGTGCATTAGCTCTTCGCTGTTACACCGCAACGGCTGGCGCTGGCGCGTGGTGCTCGCCGAGGATACACTTCGAAACAGATTGGCACACTTTTTCTCACCCGCTACCGTTGTCGTTTCCGCTGTTGCTGTATCCAGGTCATCTAGTTCGTTCTCCTGGCAGCGTTTCTTGAGGGTTGTGTTTTCCTCCAATTTCTGTTTGGTACGCTTTACAGTGCCCAGCTGTGATTCGCTGGTATTGCAATTGCTCGCTGTGGTGCTACTGCTACTGCGCTTCAGATCCTGAATCTCACCTTCAAAGATGGCTGTGGTGTTGCGATTACTATCATAGTAGCTGCAGGAACTTGTACGCAGCGGCAAACTGCTGCGATTGTCGCCCGATCCCCAACTGGCATGGCGCGAGGGTAGTTCACGCTGTCGTGGACCGCGCGTGCGAAGTACGGCACTGGGTGTCACATTGGATTGTTGGAGCGGTGCATCAAGAATGATGCCTCCGCTGGGTCCAAACGATTCCGTCCATGACTGCGTTTTTCGTCGATGTCGCTTCTCCCGCTCATCCACCTGCTCCACAGCTGTGGTAAACACTTCCGATGAGCTGGAGTCCCGACGCGAAAAGGATGTTTGCGTAATCAGCTTGGATAGTGAAGTCCACACGGGTCCTTGGGACTGGGCTGGCTGCGTTTGCGCTGAAGCTTGCGACTGCAGACTGCGACGTGGTGGCTCTTGATGAGCCTCGAGATCATGGACACGTGTACGTACAGACAGCGGAGTATGCTTTTGGATGTGCAACACCTGATTCTGGGTGACGCTATAGTTCTCACCATTGCTTCCCGGATAGCGCATATTTTTCGGTTCCTCTGCAACGCTACGCTCTGGCGTTAAATTCTCCATAGATTGGCTCTGCTGCTTTATCACTTCTACGGCACATTGTGTTTTTGGTGATGTGCTACTCGAACGACGCATCATGCGACGCTGCTTTTGTGCGCTGCTGCGACGATACGGACCATGATCGCCGCTTCCCTGTTGTTCATTGCCCGACTCTCCGGAGGACTTCGACTTGGCCTGATTGAGCGCCTGTATCAATGGCGTTGGCTCACTGCCCGGCAGAAGGCGTGCATCCTTTGTGCTCTTTAAGTTGGTCTCACTTTTGCTACGCTGTAGCTTTTCCTTGTTCTTCATAGCATCCAGCATGCCACTATACGTTTCTAGCTGATTAAGAAAATTCTTGTTCGGTTTAATGCAGCTGCGACGCATCTTCACATGCTCCAAGGCACGGTGGAACTCCCATTTGTATGCCTTCATCGCATACGCAATGACTACAGAAGCAGATCGACTTACACCCATTTTACAGTGCACCAGCACCTTCGAGCCTTCGGCCTTGGCGCGCGTGATATACCGAAATGTGTCATCCCAGTATTTGAGCAGATTCGTCTTCTCATCATCGTAAACACGCACATTGAAGTACTCAAAAGTGCCCGGAAAGAAGTTATCAATTTCCCGCGTCACATTCAAAATGTGTCGGACACTGCATTAAAAGGAAATTGAATAAATATATGAACAAATAGGTTTTTTTAACGCACTTACCCATTCTTTTGCAGCTCCTCCAAATTACTTGCATTCCATTCCGAGCCTAAATAGACATGGTCAAATATTTCTGTTGGCGCATCCATTTGGCCCAATATACGCAACATTTCAGCATCGATAAACGATTTGTATTCGCCTAGATCCATATCTAATAAATCTTCAAGGCGGCCGCGTATATACTTGGAGGTTACTTCGTCCAAATCCACAGACATCATGATTGCTTTGAGCTTCATTTTAATGACACTTTCAGTTTCCTCCTTGGCGGTTGGTCTGTAAATCAGACACAAATTTTTAACATTTTCTTGTACGCTAAAAACTAAAATCAGCAACAATTTCGGTTTAGTTTCCTACTTGTTTCTTATGGCATCTGGTGAGGGCGGGCGGCGACTCTCGAGCGCATCCATGGCATTCCATTCATTTAAACACGACTGATCTGACTCAATGCGACTTTCGTAGATGGATAACCAATCGTGTGATGGTCCGCTTGGATAGAAATTGTTTTCACGAGCCTTTCGAGATACTTTGTGCAGCGTTTGCAGCGCCGACCTACAAAAAGGATTACAAATATCAATAAAAGATTTGTGCGTCTCAAAAAAATACTTACCACATAGCTTGCACCGATACGGGCTTAAATATGTGGGTCTTCTCGTAGACGGCGACGCTAAATCCTCTGTACAAATAGAATTAGATTAATTACAATTATAAAATTTAATGTAAATTGACACCCACCCGTCGCCATCCAGGTGAATGGTGGTATCCGCGAGTATGGGCACGACTAGGCCGATGGTCGTGCGCTCGTTGCAATCAATGCCCAGCAGACAGGATTCCTCCATGCCTGAGGTATTCTTGTTGCTGTCGCCGGCGCCACCAGCATTTGCCGTTTCCCGACCATCCACATCACATTTTAGGCTTTGACGATTGGCGGCGTTACCTGATAGACGCCTTGCCGTTTCATCTTGAACAAGTTGCTGCGCTTTGTGGCTATCCACAGATAGCTGGCGTTGCGCAACAGGTGTTCCAGGCGGTGCTGTCGTTGACTTTACAGAATTGTGACGCATGATTTTAGAGCGTCGCTCACTGCTAGCCGCCGAGCGACAACAGCTGCGCGAGGCGATCACAAGGTAGCGTGTACGATTCGAACGCTGCGACTCCAGTTTGACAGCCTGCAAAGATAAGTACTGTGTGAGCAATTGAATGTCTAATGAATAGATATTTATTGTTCCATACCATTTTCAATGTGTCTTCACGCTGTAGTAAATAAAACATGGATTGTAAATGCAGCTGTATGTCCGAGTTATTGCTTTGCGTACTATTGCTGGAGCGTGTTGAGTCGGTGCTGAGACGTCGCTCTGCATGCTGGGGTATGTCTTTGAGTGCTAACACCAGCGCGGTACCTTTGCCCGCAAAATAGCATTCGCTCCTCTCGCTTTTGTTATTACCCTCTTCGTCTTCAGCCTCGCCATCCTGTAAACGATATTCCAAACGTTTATTTTATGTTTATTTCCTTATTCAATTTCTTGTTCTTCCGCGAATTACGACTGCTGTAAAGAGTGACTCAGACTCACCCAACGGTGTATACAAAATATAATATCTGATTGTGACATTTTTGGAGTTAAGTGAAATTCGTAACCAAACAAACTTGATGATGAATTGCTTTGCAAATCGAAAGAGAAGCAGACGAGAGAGCGAACAATCGAGCGAGTGTGCGTCGCCACCTACATGGTGGGAAGCTTATGTTTACAATATTGTCTAATAAATACAAATTCCAAGGGCAGGCCGTAACCAAGGTCTTGAGAACAATTTTTGTTTTTGTTTTTTTTTTTTTGGGTGGGGGCGAGGACGTTTTTGACGCCGCGCTAACGGAACCAGCCAGAAAAATCACAGAGCGTCGTTGACAAAACTACAAATAAGGCAATGCAAAATTTTCAATTTATTGAAAATGGATGAGAGCGCGCGATGAGGCGACATAGTGTGGCAGCTGCGACGTCGCGACGTCTGCTCGGATTTGCTTCAGTTACAACAATAAATAAAAAGAACAAGATGTGGTGTAATCGAAAGTGCCCGATAAGTGAATACCCTATAATCAGCTTTGCTTTGGTGAAATAAACTGCGATAACTGTATAATATATATACAAAGCGATAACTTTACAAAATAGATATAGATTTCGCAAAGTGCCAAGGCTGACAATCTATACAACGGTGTTATTTGTTATAATAAAATGAACTAAAGCAAAAGGAAAAACCAAAGAAAAGAATTCTCTGTATTAAAGTCAGTTTTTAAAGAGTACTCCCTCAGCATTCCATAGATATTTACACAAAACTATAATACCCCATTTTAACCTTTTACACTGGGTATAGGGTATTAATATAAAAACAACAACTATCACAGCAAACAACAAACAGATGCGCGATTCGTGGCGCGACTGATGATGACGATGATGACGCTGACAAAACGCCCACAAGACAAACGGTCAGAGAGTAGCGCATGGAACGACAGTAGAGAGAGTCTGCATGATATTCGAATTTAACTAAATTGGCCATATGGACAGGCTGCACACGTATGTATACACAACAAAAGGATCACTGACTAGCACGGAACACGCACAGGAAACGTTTATAGGCGGTGGCTAAAGAACACACACATAAAACCCCCCGAACTCAAATAAGCTCCATTAACAACGCGTAACCAAAACAAAGCAAAATCATAGAGTGAGAGAATGAGAGAGAGCATGACACCGAGAGCGAAGTGAGTGAGCGGGTGAGTGCTTGATTACAGCACACACACACACACGCATACACGAGAGCAAACAAATGCGTAGCTGGTTGCAGCTGTAAAATTGCACCTTACATAGAAATGGGGCAACTCACATATTTTGCAGGCCGCCCGTTGCGCCCACTTCCTACTTCACATTAACTGCACATATACACGTACATATATTCATATATAATTGTATTTATATATGTATACATGTATCAGCAACTCACCGAATTCGAGCATGAGCCCGCCACACTTGGTGAACGCTGCACTGTCACTAGAGCCATTAAGTTCTGTTTAAGTCGTTTGTTTCTTCTGCAACGAGTTCGTATCCAAGGCCTCCGTTGTGGCTTATGCTGGCTTTTTCCTTTTCCTATCCTTTGCTGAGGTTCGTTGGTCTAATGTGCGTGTGTGTCAATGTCTGTATGTTGAGTCAAGTGTTGGGGCGAAAATTCACAAATGCATTTTCATTTTGTCGACGTCGTTTCCTCTATCCGTTGTTTTTGCACTCGGCACTTTGTCTTCTCTAACTTAAAACATTAAGATTATGTTGGCGCGTTGCACCAAATTGTAAAAACAGCACACGCCCGTTTAAATTATTGATACTGCACAACGTATACGAATAAATATGATAAATGTTATTACAAAAAAGTTTTCAAAGAGCCAGAGCCAAAGGCAGTTTAGCACGACGACGCCATATTTAATTTTATAGTCGATAACATGCACTCTGAGTTCTGAAACTTATCGAATACGTGCCACTTGTCATTTTGCACAGGTTGGCAGCTCTCTACAAAACTATCGATTGGCGCGGCGAATTAAAGAGGCTGTGGTGCGGCATAAACAGATGGCAAAATTACTTACGGCAAACATTTTATTTCGTACAAAATAGAAATTCGAGTGTGTCCGGCAAGAATTTAGGCAAATGTCCGGATTTATAGAAGAGAAAAACTGCATGTTGCCACGCGTGGCTCTAATAGCATGTGGATGCTTTAGTCCACCAACTCCAATGCATATGCGTTTGTTTGGTAAGTAATTTGTTTACGAAAGCCCGGTGATAATCGATATTGACATTGACATTGACATTGTATCTTTATTGAAACAGAGATAGCACGAGATTATTTTGAGCTTCGTGGTACACACAAGGTTGTAGGTGGCATTATATCACCTACGCATGATTCCTATGGCAAGAAAGGACTGGCTCCTTCTTTGGATCGCTGCGCCATGATAAAACTGGCCTCGCAAACCTCTAATTGGATTCGCTTGTCCGATTGGGAGGTGCACCAGCCGCAATGGATGCGAACTAAAGCGGTGCTACAGTATCATCAGAACTTTTTGAACAACCACATCAATTCACCATACGATGAGGAGCAAAATGATCTGCTACCTGGCTGGCTGCCACTGGGTTTGCGTGAACGTCGCGATCCCATACGCCTTAAGCTACTATGCGGCGCTGATTTATTAGAATCTTTTGCAGTGCCTGGCTTGTGGGCTGATGAGGATGTAAGACAATAGTCAAATACGTAACCTAAATTAAGATGAACATTTTTTTATATTAGATTGAAGAAATTGTCGCTAACCATGGATTAGTTGTTATAACCCGCTGTGGCTCTAATCCTGAAAGGTTTATATTCGAATCGGATATACTATCCAAGTACCAGGTGAGTATGTAGTAGCATCAAGAAATGTTTGTATTCTAATCAACATTTCATTCTGTAGCGCAACATAACCCTCATCACCAACTGGGTGCCCAATGAAGTGAGCTCTTCTCTTGTGCGTCGTCTGCTAAGTCGCGGTGAATCGGTGAAGTATCTTTTAGATGATTTGGTGCTTAATTATATCAAGCGCCAGGGCTTGTACAATGTAAAATCGTAAGTGCTAACGCTTGATCAGTCACAAATGAATTCATTTTTGTGCACCCACGCTTCGAATTTGATACGTACACTGAGGGGGCTTGGCAAACGCCGCCTGTTGCATCCAAACACAGCCATCGAGACACTTCACCTAGCCAGAACATAGCCACTATGCAATTTCACGCACAACCAACAATTTGTATCTCTCTCTTTTGCAATGGCTCCGAACTGAAGGTTGGATGCACCGCCTGAAGGCAGCAAATGACGATGCACACACTGCACTTTACACCATTTAGATGTAGAATCAATATATCCAGAGGCGCAGCAGCAAAATCAACATCAACATCAACATCTTCACCAACGGCAATCAACCCAAAGTCTTCTCGTGCAGTGGCGCCTCTTTATGGAGTGTGAGTGTGTAATAGCAGAAAATGAATACGCCAGGTTTTACATAATTGTTTACAAAATTTCCTGCTCTTGCATGTAAATACATTCACTTTTAATATATAAGCATAAGAACACGTATGTACACTTCTTATACGCTTTGGTGTTATATAGTTTTCCAGTGTACGTATCAGCTTAGATTGCACCTATAATGTTTCATTAAGAATAATCCATGTCAATAATACGCTACATCATCATTATTGTTGTTGTTGTTGTACTGACACGCTTACATTGATAATGGATTTTAGTAAGTATATAACGGATGCACTGCGTCCAGATCATTTGAATTTCAATCGCGCATACACGGATAATAACAAGAATGCAATGAAACTGTATAATGAGCAACCGGAGCAGACAATGGATGATGAATCGGACAGTCCGCTCAGGCAGCAGGCAGCACGCGTGTTTTGCTGTGGCGAAACATCGCGCACCAGCACCAAGTTGCTGCTGAATCGATCTGGTCCCGGCCAAGCGGTCCAGGTTATAACAGTGCAGAGCAGGGACACGGGCAACGTCGATGCCATGGAGGTAAGTAGAGAAAAGTTAGTGCTTAAAAGGTATTATAATTAATTCATTTGCAGCAATCGCAGCCCAAGAAACAGAAGATAGCTAAAGTGCAACAGGTCTAGGATGCCCGAAAACAAAAACTATGGAATGATACAGGCTGGACACATACAAAGGACTACGTTTTATTGTTGTTGTAGATATCACATTGTATACATAGAACTATATTATATAGATATTGGTTAAATGTTAAATATATCCTGTTTAGAGGCATGCGCATTCTCAACCATCTTTGGGTCAGTCTAACAAACTGGAAGGCATTGAACTTGCAACGTGCATTGACATTGCAGCGATAGGGCTTCCCAGTTGCAGTCATCTTTGGCGAGTTGGCGTATCGAATGACAAACTGTTGCAAGCAAACTGTTTGCCACTCTTTGATTCTGTTATTAGAACCAACATTAGTTGCGCACTTTCCGTCGTCGCGTTTGGATCGACATAACTGCTGTGAATGTTTTTCTTCCGCCGTTCGGATGTCAAGCGTGTACCACGTCCGTCGCGAGCACCATCCTTTGCCCTGCCCAAGCGGCGTACGCCCGTGCTATTGTCGCCGTCAAATCAACATGATCAGTTGCCATTTTTAAGACGCTCGCGTTTCAGCGCCTTGCCACACTTTCGTGCCCACGAGGATGAGCCGGAGAGCCTTTCCCTGTTCATTGCCATTCTCTATGTGGTAGACTTGTTTGGCATCTTTCCGTTTTTGACGTTGCCCGCGCTGCTGATTCGGCTTGGTTACTTTGGGGTGCTGCTCGTTCTGTCCATCATCTTCCTGCAAATCTACACATCGTTTCTGCTATCCCAATGCTGGACCATGGCTGAGTACCTGGATCCCTCGATACTGCAGAAACGCAACTATCCATATGCTGCTCTCGCCGAGCTGGCGTATGGACCCTATGTCAGCCTCTTGGTATCCGTTCTACTGGACCTGAGCATCTTTGCCCTGGCCGTGCCCACCATTGTCATGGCTGCCGAGAATCTAGAAGCTGTCGTCCTGCGCATGAGCGCTGGCGTTTATAATTTCTCCTACTGCTATTGGGCCATTATTGTGGGCCTTGTCATCTGTCCACTCATGTGGCTGGGCAGCCCCAAACACATGCGGTTAGAAGATTTTTCAATCTAACAAGCAGAGTAAATGTTGAACTATTTTTAAGGAGCATAATCTCTGGCTATTGCTCAAGCTTCGCTTTTTTGAACTGGTGCAACAAAAAAGTTTATTAATATTAACCTGGAATTGTTGGAGCGGCTTTTCTTCATATTAATATCTCAGGATGATATATTTTTGTATATTTCAGAGGCCTGGCCATTATAGCCGTTTGCGTTATGATAATAATTGTTGGACTGCTTTGGTATTGCCTGCTTGATGCACCGGCCATTGGAACGCCCTTCCAAGGAGTCTCGATGGGTGCGTAAATGTCAACAAAATCCTAAGGCAATTGCTATTAAATTAAAGTGTATGGCCTTTAAAAGTTAATTTATTAAAGAACGCTGTCGGTTCCAGGCGGCTGCAAGTTGTAAACTAGTTTTTTAAACTTTAGCTTGGTTTTGTACGTTTCCACTATACAGAACTTCCTGGTTTTCTGACTATCCTGAGCAGCTATAGCATTTTGGCTTTCCAGTTTGATATACATCCCGTGCTGCTGACCCTGCAAATAGACATGAAGCGCAAGTCGCAAGTGTCCTGGGCGGCGCTCAGTGGCATTGCCAGTAAGTGGAGCTTGCGCTTGGGCAATGTGGCAGCCGCAATATCAATTTCTGTTTAGTCACTTGCAGCGTGGCCATCGTGGGCGCCATCATCGCGGCCTACAAGTTCGGCACCATGATTACGAGCAATCTGTTGCACTCGCTGCCCACCAGCGTGCCCTTCTATGTGATGCTCATATTGATGTCGCTGCAACTGTGCTTCTCGGTGACTGTGGCCAGCTCCGCGATGTTTCTGCAAATCGAGAACTTCTTCAAGCTGCCCGAGTGTAAGTCTGTGTCTAGTCAGTGGGAGTCTCTGTATATAATTCACTCTTCACACTTAGCTCTGTGCTGCAAGCGTATTCTGATTCGGTCCTGTGTGCTGGCTCTGGAGGTGCTAGTGGCTGAGTTTGTGCCCAGCTTTGATGCGCTCATGGATGTGGTCGGTGGCACCATCACTGGTCCCTTGGTCTTCATACTGCCTCCCCTGCTGTACCGGCGCATTCGACGCATGGAACGTGTGCATCAGCGCATTGCTGCCGAGGCCAGCTATGGCAGCCTGCCCTTGGACCTCAACTATGATCCCATTGAGCTGGAAATGGAGCCGCTGCTCGTGGCAGCCAAGCCGCGTTCCCCACACGTTTGTTGGCTGCGTGTGGCGCGTTACCTGAGTCGATTGGAGTGCGATATATCCTGCACCATGGCTGTCCTAATCTTTGGTGTGCTGGCCACGTTTCTGTCCACCTATCTAAATTTGTTTACCCTAACGAATCTATTCAAGAACAATTCGCCCTGTCTAAGCAATCTAACGGCGCATTAGTCAAAGCTAATTTTCCTTCTCATTGAGCTTCAAAGTTAAGTCTTAGACATCTCTATAAATATAAAGTATAGCTCATCAGAGTTGATGTGTTGAGTTTTGGGTATTCTATTTCCGTCCTTCGATAAGTTCAAAAACCTCAATTGCCAAATTTGATGCAATATTTGTTTAATTAATATGTTTTTATAATATAAACTACAAATTTAATAAATTAATTTATAAATTTATAAAAGCACGCAAAGATGTACTATCCTAAGTGTGTGTGTGTGTGTGTGTGTGCGTGTGCGAGTGTTTAATTAGTTAAGCTTTATTAAAACATACGTAAAACAACTATTTTTTGGGTAACTGCACAACTGCGCATCATTTATCATCTCTTGGACGCGTCGCAAATGTTTTGTTTGCCAAATTGTTGAAAAACAAAAAATAGTAAAAAAAGGAGGTAAAAAAGCAATTGAGCTGAATAGTGGAGTGAATTCGATCAGCAGATACCCTCTACAGGCCAGTCTCATATTTTGTCTTGCAGAGTTGGCTATGCTAAGATACATGTGTTCAATGTGTCGATATAAATCGATTCCGTGGAAACAACAGTTACTCAAGCGAGGTTAGGCTTAATTTGCGAGAATCTATAATCTAAATTTGTAATCTTTAGCAGAGACGAACAAGACAGTTCCAATTTATGTTCTGAAATTCGTTGTACAATTTGATTATACCCTATGGCTAGCTGTACAGGGTATATTAAAAATCATATGCTGTTCGCTTTGGAGTAATCTAAGACCAGTTCAGTTCCAGCCAGCACAACTATGCTATGGAAAGTAAGCCCCGCTTAGTCGTAAGCTGATAAGGCCTTTCGCAGCTATCTTTGGGTTATGGTTTTGGCATGAGCACAATCGCTGAGCTCAGTGTTTAAATTTAAACACAGCTGCGTTGATGCTGATGTTGATGTTGATGTTGATGTGTAAAGATTCTTCCACATAACATTCTTCTGCCTGCCTAGACCGACCCAGCCGCTCCACCCCGCCATCCCGCCACTCGCCTATTTGCCAGATGTTAGGCCAGCGCCTGTGCCTGGGTCTTATAAATAAATTTAATTTATTCTTTGGCTGATGTTTAGCTCCATGCATAACGTTTTTTCTTATTTGCGTATTTGTATACAATTTTGTTATTTTTATTATTTTTTTTTCACCTGGCATTCATTTCCGTCTTCAATAATACGTTTTTAACCATGTTAAAGATGACTCAAGCGTCTGTCTAGATAACCCATGCAAAAACCACAACAACAACAACACAAATAATCAAATCTTATAAGTAATATTTTTAATGTGATTATTTATGAAAATTAATACTCATTGTTCATTGATAGCAACGTTGTCGACACGTCATCAGCCGCAACACATTTAATGTGCCAGCTCGGCCCTTACGGCACACTCACACACACGCACACACTCACACCTGTTGCTGTGGCGCTTTTATTAGCTCGTTATTTTTATTCAGTTTTTACTGTGCTTGTTGGAATTCACAGCTCAAGTACACACAAAAGCCCACGGAACTCCACTGCCGTTCTACGCGCCCTTTTTTTTTTAATTACGTCGAACTTTGGGTTTACATGCGAGTATTTCCCTATTTTTTTATGTGATTTGCTATACTCTTTTGGAGAGCATTGTGAATTTGTAAGCGAAAGTGCAATAAGAGATATAGGACAATATATATTATATATGATTTTTATTCTTTTTATTGCATCTTATACAGTTTGCCATATATCACTGCATAGCATGGGACATAGGTCTCATATAAAGAAGTTTCTGCAGGTAGCAATTTCATAAATAAATTTGTCATGCATGAGATTACGATATTTATAATCTTATCAATATACAATTACTTTATCGCTTTATAGAAAAATTCGCCAAATCATTTTCACTTTATGGAAAGTCTTTCGGGTTTTCTTAACTAAACAATGACGAGCTTCATTATTCTGCTCAACTACTTTATTATATGACTCTCATGATTTAAAGCTTTCATGGAAAAGCCCTTCTAAGTTCTAAGCCTTTAAGGGTATATAAATGTCGGCTAGCAAAATAAAGCCGTTAATTCTTGTTTTATTCTTGTTTTGTTCATCTCGACTGAGTCGCAGGTTCCAATGCGTCAACCCGAACTGCAGAAGGTCTCGTTTAGCACGAACTCTGTGTTTACCCATGGATGCTGTACATCTCATAGATGAGTCACGCTCGACGCTAGTCCAGGTAGTTGATGCCGCAGCTGGATGGAGCGGAACTGCCGCCGGGTGGCAAGCTTTGTGGCAGCAAGTGCAACATAAATCGTGCTAATTGATTCTATCGTAAAACATTTGACAAGCATTTTCTACGATCGACGCAAAACATGCATAATTAATAGTTATTAACTTTTATTACTTATTCAAATATGTATAAAATAAAAAAAATTATTCAAAGAGCTTACTGATTAGCCTTGCCAAGCCATTCTTATTTACATACTTATTTCTGATGAGTCGAAGATTTATTTAAATATATATTAAATATTATCTTAGCCATAGACATAATATTCAAACATACTTTGCAAGAGCTTCATTGAGAATTAAGAAATAATTATTTCTATGAAAATCACGCCAAGGTTGAAAATCATTGAATTTGAAGTTTTAATATTCTCATGATTTTTCTAGAAATTTTAAATGAAATTAAAAATTTGTTCTCGTAAATTTTCAATCAGTTTTATCGAAAATTTCAATAATGTTTCCTTGGAAAAAAGAAACTCTTGTAAAAATTCCATATATTTTGGTTGTCTCGTATTTGTTTTGACGCAAATAATATTTTACCTCTTATTAAATATAATTCTTGCGAATTCTTCTTCTTCTTTGCAAATTTCGTAATGCAAATCAAAATTTGTTATCAGACAGCTAAGAACTTTGTGAGTTCCTCATTGTTTTCGCTTAGCTTTAAAACAGAGCTTTGATAATTAAAATACTTCATTAACAATCACATAAATTTTACACACGAAAGAGCTTATTCTGCAAACATCCTCATCTAGTACATTGAAACAACAGAAACAAGCTGAAATTAAAAATGCAAAATAAATTGCCATTTCGAATTATCGGGATTCTACTGTGTCGATATTGGGTCAGATCGGAATGGAGTCTTTGACTCTTTTGTTTAGAATGTAATCATAGGCTTGGCCAGTCAAATAGATGGGTATAGGTATAACGCCCAGTTATATCCGATGCTGTTCAATTTCTTCACACGACTCATTGGTTTTTAACGTGGTCATAAGATCAGCTGAGTTGGTCTGCGCCTGGGGGCACTCTTGTTGCTGTCAAAGACTGATTACACGGTGGCAATTTTCAAGTGCTCGCCACAAAGGCTTAACCCAGAAATTAATGATATTTAAATTGCCAGTTCCTTTTGCCAATACCTCCAAAACTATGCTCATGTGTGTGTGTGTATTTGTGTGCGTGTGTGTGTATAACAAAAGGCAATTGGTCTCTGGTGAGGTTTAACTGAAATTTCACTTTTCATTTCCTATTGACCCCAATACATTGGCGCACTTCTTTCTAATTTCGATGAGCATGCTTCTTCAGTTTGCTTTTCAAGTGCCCCGCAGTTCTTCAGTAATTTTTCTATTCGATTCGATACTATTTTATTTTCGTTTCTCTTATTTTTGCTAATCGAATTTGGCAGCCAACGATCGATCTGTAATGTCTTTCGAAATAGCATTTATGCGGCAAACTGTGGCTGCTTTCTGCATCAATTGAATACTCATTAGGCACATTCACACGTGCAGGCTGACCGAGATCTCGCTCTGGTACTTGATTCCCGGGAACTATCGCGCGATGATGACTTTTTGATTTCGTTTGTCTCGGCCCACAGAATCGGGCCACAAAGTGCTTTTGAAGATTACCTAGTTGACCACTTTATATATATAAATCCGAATATTGCAAGCGGCATTTTGCATATATATCTATACATATATATATATATAAAATATTTTATTGTCTCTCATAGCCTGGAGCTGATTCACGGTCTGTCTTTTGTTCCACTCTGTGCTGGGTACTTTACAATAATTGCCCCCCGTCCTTGTGGCCCGGCTACCAGCTTGGCCCATTTAGCAGAAGGCATACAAGTTAACGCATTTTCACATACATAATAAATGAACTAACTAATGTATTGGGGCGTTAATAATATTGTTTATAAATAAATCGATGACGCTAGCTATGATTAACTATCAGACAATACAAATTGTTTGCTAATAGTTAGACTTGGTATGGCCAACGTCTGAGAGATTCGCATCGCATTATTCACATCAATTACAATATTCGGTGAGGCGCTCAAAACGTGAGCTATAAAAGCAATAAAAACAACAACAGCAGTCGAGATGCTCAGTTGTTCAATAATAAGCAAATAAATATAATTGCAGACCCGTTCGATAGATAAATGCACAGTCAAGGACGTTGAAGGCCATTCAACGGCGCTTTTTGCTTTTTGGGGGTTGAGGTCGCCGCCCCCTCGTTGCCCTTCCCACAACCACAGCAACCCGTTATGTCTGCCGTGGAGCATGCTAATCGAGACGGGGCAACAGCATTAAGCCAATAGATTGATGCTGGTACATAAATTTGCTCCGGGACAGCCAAAGGGGGCGGCTGCCGTAGGGACAGCAGCTGCAAGGCCGCACGGCCAAACTGTAAATAGCCTACAGCTCATTACCATTAGCCGTTGGATGCTGCTGCTGCTGCTGCCTGCACTGCCGCATCGTTTAGTTTATTGTCTAAAAATAAACGTCCAGACTATGTCGACATGGCACAAAGCCTAAGCCAGAGCATGAGCCCAGCCAGAGCCCAAGCCATGTCTTCCTGCTCCACGTACCATTTTTTTTTATTATTATTAATTAGCGCAGCTCATTGGCCTGGCCAGAAATCTGAGTGGAATGCTGAGTACGTGCGGCAGTGCAGTGGTGCTGTGCTGCGGAGGTTAAGGCCATATAGCATATGGCATTTATGCTAT